GCGTGAACTCACAAGACCTTCTGACTCTGCTTGCTTCACCGCATTTAAAAACTGTGTAAACCTCAGTATACCATTTGCAGCCAGGTAGTACGTACCGGCCAAGAGCAAAATTTCCATTGATGAAATAAACCAAGCAAACTGCTTAAATCTTACAACTCATTTTTTCAAAGTGCAGAACGCTTCATCATTTTTCATTTTATATAAATTTATTGTATTTTGTTATGACTTATTTGCGCAGAGAAAGGAGGATTAATGGCTCAGTCATGGAGAGATATCGTCAAGTCTCGTGGGATGAGTGAACGATGGGGTGCTTGGAGTAGTCTATCTTTATTTACGCATATACACAAACCACTGAAAGCAACACCCGGACTATTCAAAGATTTCTGACGTCAACGAGACACACAACCTGCCGTTCACAGGAGAGGACTACTCAGTAGATTCTTCTCACTTAAATATTTTAATAAACCCTTTCTAACTGGGACAATACAAATTCAGGAAATGACAGTAATAGAACAATGCTATGAGTTATTAAGCCAGGAGGGTGTCCGGGACAATGGACTGGTTACTGTGTTAGCTGAAATTGAAATTTAGAAAAAGCGCCTAGGCAATTTTAGTTTTTTTTTTGCCTTTTTCACTTTGCATTTTCCCGTCAATAGTAAAAAAGGCAGGTTTTGGTCAAATTAGAGCAACTCAGTTTAATAAAAGGTCGCTTGGCCACGAGCCTAGACAAAAAAATTGGACCAAGTCATAACTTGAACAAGCACCTGTTGATCAGGGAGCTTACTTGTTATCAGTCTTTGAAACTCTGTGCACTATATGCAGTCTATCGCTATACCTTTCAGATAGAAAATAAAACTAGGAGGACCTTTCACATCGAGAAGATACGCATTGTTTATATTTTACTTTGTAGTACCAATGAGTAGCCGTTTGCAAGTGTTGTCAGCAAAACTCTAAGATACGAGAAGAAGCACACCCCTTGCTACTCCACAGTTTAAGTGCAGTAATCATATGACCTTTAATAAATTGTTAAATTACACCTTCCTTACAAGCAAAAAAAATGTGAAATTTTATGTTTTGTTAACTAATGCAAAATCCTTTTACACATGTCTTCAGTTCTAAAAATGCTACAGTATAAACCGCCGAGAAAATACTACTTATCAATGACAACGACAACCTTGTTCAATATTCAAAATATTTCGACCTTTTCTTTTCATCATTTCCATGTATCAATATTTTTGAGATATAATCGGTTGATTATCATTCAAACGAAACATTTGATGTCGAACCAATAGACCGTATTCATGGACTGATGTGATCACCGGGTAAGTGCTTTTGACAAAGGCGTTTTTCGATCCTAGCTAGCTAGTATAAAGGACAGCTTTGTTTGAGAGAAATCCACACATTTGAAGACATTAAACTAAGAAAATCTTTTCGGCCAACTGTGATTTTTCCGCAAGTAAACAACATAAAGAAAGAAGGAAAGATTTCCATAACAAAAGATATTCAATTGGTATTCGTTCACGCGTGTACAGCTTTTTCTTCCTCAAGCGTATCTAGATCATGTACTTAGCCAAAAATACGTTTTCATTTCCTCTGGGATAAATGTGATAAATGCCGTGACCGTCAACTTGTTGAAGATTTCGTGGGCAAGATATCGTTCTCACTGACTGTTATCTTCAAAAGCGATTAACACTCTCCAACAGAGCTCTCATGCATACTTATCAAACGCCTCGCGTATAATCAAAAATAATAACGTCAAAGGAAAACGAGGTGGGAATCAGCCACTGATTCGATAAGTCTCCTTTCCTGCTCGTTCGTTAATCCGTTCTTTATTGATCAGCAACACAAGTCGGGTTTCTTGTTCGGTGGGGCATAGCTTACTTCCATGCTTATGGCGCTCAATAGACACCACCAACTGGAATCAAAAGCGGACAGTCAGGATATCAAGACTGAGATCCCGGCTTCCGCAGTTGATGTGGAGGTGTGTGAACGAGTCACCATGGCTCCAGCTCAGTGAGTTGCCACAGTAGGAAATTGTAACTTATGTAAGTAGCTAATAAAGGTAACAATGTTACTGTCGAAATGGTAGTTTAACCTCATGGTCACCTCACCAGAGAGGTATTTTTATCACAGTTAATGGGAACGCTAATAGTAAGAGTAATACTACAAGAAAATCAGGTCATCAAGTAGATATTAAGATTTACAGGCTGTGGGTAGATGCCTCGAAACATGTGACTCAAAACACGTCAAAAGAAACGGACCGAGGACTGGCCGGCTAGACGCAATATTGCCGGGAAAAAAGTTAAGATCAAGCACTTCAGTTCGGAGTCAAACGAATTAACTCCCGACCAAAGGGATCGGCCGCAATTCACGGAGGTTGCTAGAAAAACCGACAAAGGATGAAAAGAAAACTTATGGGTGCTAGATCTCGCATCTTTTTTTTTTAGCATATAAAAATATTTATAATATGTACCACAAAGGGCTCCTCGACAGTAACTTCGGAAAGATACTAAACATTGTTCTCCTCCAAGCAATTTGGAACTGAGGGTCAACACTGAAATGGTCTGTATGGCGTGGAGTGCTCTGACTTAGTGCAGTCGGATGCGAATTGTTATTGTGGTTTAGCGTTTGTAATGATAATCTATAAATACGAGGTATACGCCCAATGTGAAAAGTGTACTAACATGATTCAACTGATCTACAAAATCCTAATTAGGACATGCTGTAGGTTTTTTCATTATTCATCCCGGAAGGCAGAGGAGTTGATCACTGACTAAGGTGGTATGGATACGACGAAAACAAATTTTCTTTATTTGGTAATGACGTTTACTACATTAGATAAGCCATTTCTTAGAAATTCTAAATTTGTTTAAGAATTGAAGGATCTTAGAGAGCGTTGTCTTTGCACTGTACCAAAAAATATTTCAAATTAGGTTGTGAAGGATCATAAGTTTCTGTTTGTAGGTAGATTATCCTATTGTTTTTAGTGCTTGACGTCCTTATCAAGGTTGACAAGGTTATTCGTGTGATGACAGCAAATTGTGTTATACGCGCTAAGAGTTTTTTTTTTTTTTCGGCTTACTACAAAAGCTGCACGAAGCGGACTATACCTATTACTTTTTTTTTCTATCGCTGTCGTGGTTGCTCAAGATCGCTGATAGTGCTACCATCAGAGCAATTCTTGATATGCAAGCGGCGAATTGATGGAAAACGCGCGACGAAAGACAAGTCCGCAGGTACCAATAGAGAGGCTCAGAATCAGCTGACTTTCAGCAGTAGAGAATTTCAACGTTTCTGGAACTAATTTCTGTAGTAAAAGTGGGAGCTCAGGGGCTCTCCCCTTCTTCTTGGATAAACCTTTGCCTGCCATGACTTCGCCCATGAGATCTCAAGTCACTCCGATATAAATGTGATTGGATCTCTGGGAATGTAGTGGAGGTAGGTATTCGGCCCCTGTGGTGTTTTGAGCGCAATGTCAAGAGCTAACCTAACAGTCCACTTCAGCGAAATTATCTTAGATTGTAGTCGCATATTGTTCTGTCACCACACTATCATTTCAGAAAAGTTGTTAGAAGCATTAAGCAACAACTTTTCTTTCGAAAGAACGAATCAGACACTCGATGATCGTGCCATAAGTGTTCATAAGTATAACTGCGAAAGCAACATGACGTTACTCGACTCAGAGACGTGACACATAATAACAAATATTTCGCAATGCAACATTGCATTGGAAGGCGTGACATTGACGCAACTGCGGTTCAAGTTCTCGACCCCAGACGTCAACCAAAAGTAACGCGACCTTGTCGAGACTTAGTCGAGTGTATCTAAATAGACGCGTCAAAAAGTGGCGCGAAATATCGCTTCGCAAATACAGCAAGCATTACATGACATTAAACTTTGTAAGAAGGATCTTATTTAAAGACATGATATCACTTGCGCCTGCCACAACAGTTAGGGTAGTTGGCAACAAACCAAAGGTGCAAATGTATGAGGAAAATTTGTAAAACTCTGCCCAGCAGTTTTACATCCATAAGGGGAATGGACGTGGGTGAGATAATGCGCCCTGGGTTTGCCGGATCGGGGCATTATTGATAAACCCAATAAGGTAGAAACCTGATGCAAAACCTGCACAAAAAATTCCGCGTTCTGACTGCATGAATAAGTATTTTTATGAGCCGAGTGCCAGATCAAATGATTAATTTATCGATCTTTAGTAGTGACAATAAATGTGGTTGGTAAGGGGTTGCTGGAATGAAGACGTGATTTTTTATTTCTAACGGAGAGATGAACGTGTAATACAAACAGTACATCGTGCGGTAAACCACCGATACTTCGTCATCGGTAAAAGGTCAAGGATAATAGTACCGGTCTCTAATAGTAGAGGCTGGAAAATTTCAAAATATTTGCTCCTTATAGAATAGAATTCAACAAAACATTCCGTAAAACCAGCTAAAATATTACTAATTTTCCATAAACGCTTACAGTTTCAATGAACCTAAATGGACTGCTTCATTAAAGCTTAGAACGTTTATTAGCCTTTTTGGGGAGAACACATGTTTTATTTGTACATACAGTGTATAATGTAATCACGTTAAGCTGAAATTGTTTTTGCATACCGTTCAGTCACAACAGGTTCCATGATATGGGTCACTTTTTTTTTAGAAGCCATTGTAACTGCACTTTTCTGACCAATGCAATAATTGCTTAAGACAAAACCCAGTATCAAAGCAGTTATGCCACTGGAGCAGTACAAGCAGGAATAACAATCACCCGGAAACCACGCGAGGAAAAAAGGAACAAAGGCCATATACGTCACCAATAGCCATTTGTTACAGACATATCAACCGGAAACACTCCTCCCACTTGTTGTCAAATACCGTTTGGCTACTCTTGCAAAACGATTTAAGGAACGACTTCCTCCACGTCCAGGGTACAGAGTAGCGTGTGCGCTCAGTGCAAAGTTTGTTTATTTCTCTCAGAACGAACTGGCTTTGATAAAAATGAGTCTTTACGCTTTCGATCCTGAACTGGAGCAAAAGTTAAATGACATTGACGAATTTATCAGGTCGCAGTGCGGAGACGAGTTAGCCGAAGGGTTTGATCAAAGCGAGTGGCTTTTGCCTTCAAACGCCGGGGAAGCCCCGCCGCAGCCCAGCTCTTGCAACGTGAAAGGTACGTCTGGGATTTTGTTCTAATAAGGTGCTAACGGATAAAGGCGAGTGAACAAGGCACGGAGCGACAGGGTGTGCCAAACTTCACTTTAAACCAGAAACGTGGCTAACAAAGGCAAAATAAGCTCTTTATAGTCTTAGTAATTTAGCAGATTTCACCACTGAAACGTGGATAAAAACAATTATTACCTCGCTTGTACATCATTGGCGCGATTTTCTCTCTATCTTTTATACTCTTCCAAACCAACGTAACATGCTTTTAAGTCACGTAGAACGTGTCTCGGATTTGGGCATTAAAAACGACACCGAGTTAAAAATGGTGCTTTCACGATTTTTTTTGGCTAACAACTTGCATCGGATTGCATCAGCTCCAACAGCCAGGAGAACGACAATAGCAGCGAAAATAGTTCCATATATTTCCAAGCCACATGATCTGAAACAGAATTAGAGTATCAACGGGCCTTTAAACAATTTGACGGTAAGGTACACCCGATGTTGTGTACACGCATTAAGCAACGTCACTTCGCGAAACAGTCATTAATTGACTTGCTGTTTCAAGTAGCGCACTCGGCAGTTTTCTCGTTTACTTCCACGTGCTCCCCTAAGGCGGGCTAAGTTCGTTAACATTTTTCCTTTTTGTAAGCAAACTGAAATTACCAAGTGACACTAAACAAATTTTCCGCGTCTAAGTTTACCGAGTTGAGAGAATGGTCTTCAACTTAACGGGTCAACATGTAGATACGTAGCTCAGTACAACATGCTGCGTGTGCTTACTTGAATCATACCTGTTCAACAATAAAATAAAGAAACTATTGCTGTTTATTACGTATTCAACTTTTCTGAAAGACTTCGACGTATCAGGAGGCACAATTTTATCTTTGAAGCCTTAAGTGATAAGTCAATGTTATTGAAAGATCCTGTTTCCTTCCCCTCAAATAGTCAGTCTTGGACAAACTGACCACAAACAAACCAGTTCTCGTATTATCACCAAAAGTGTGAGGCATTCAAGTACTTCCCAATTACCAAAATAAACTGTAATTTTATTGCGCGTGCTAGAAATACTGCTTGAACCAGTTTCCAAGCCTTTTCCCCGATATTCTTTGTCGAGCTCACATGCAGTTATGGCAGACTCAAAATAAAAATAACTTTTATCGATGCTGATGGCAACACAAAACGTACCGTACGCGCCTACAGTTAAATCAAAATTGTTTTCTTTTTTGTGAAAAGTAATTTTTCTGTCTGAAATACAACAGTGTCAATCAAATTAGCTAAAAATTTCAAATTGGGGAGTGTGTCATTTTGTTATAATAAGCAGGTCAAGTTTTTGGCTTCAATCACCGGAAAAGGAAAAGTCTTATATCTGAAAATTTACTGAAAGAAGGGGGGAAAGCATAGTAAAAAACTAGTATTTAGAAGCTAGGCCTGCCTGACACGTTCTGGATAAGAATTAACCCCGTGTTTTCTTGGAGTGTAAGTTTTAAGTTGCTTTACATTTATTACTGATAAATTATTAAGATAGCCTTACAAAAATTATGCCCTCTTTCAAAGCAAAATTGGTCTAAATTTGACAATTTTCAGTTTGGTAATGAACGTGTCCAAAGGAACTTCGTTAATGTGTCCATTTATTTCTATTATATGTTTTAGTTGCCAACGAGATGTTCTCTACTCTGCAAAGTATGTACTTCCCTTCTTACACCGGATAAATAAACGCGTAATACTTAAACCAAAATAGGGCTATTTTATCATTTTTCGCCGATAAGCAGCAAAAACAAAACATCAGCAGAAACCAGAGAAACCTTAGGAATACCATTCATTGTGTCAATTTGTAACAGAGAAGCCCTTTTAATGACTAAGTCGCTTTCTTGATGCTGCACTAAGTTAAAAGTATCTATCGTTCGATATCTCATCTTTGTCATAATCTATTGTCGGAGCAAAAATGTTGTCCTTTGTAAAGCAATCAGAAAAAGGGCTAGCTTAGGAGAATACGGTTAAGTAAACCTTCTGATAAAACTGATCAAACTCCACTTTGCAAAAAAGACAGGCTACGAGTGGAACAAGTGTTTAAGGTATGGATATCAGTAATTTTATAAACATCAGTATATATACTTGACCCAATTGCAAGCATCTATTCTTCCAATGGCGCTCATAAAATTAAATATATTCAATTTTACCCCCAACAAATGAAGACAGAACACTTTTTTTTCACCAGATAGACTCAATACTTTCAAGGATAAGTCTAGTGAGGTTGTATATGACATGAATAGTTTTCGAAAATAAAAGTTATGTTCTGCAAAGACGCACACTAAGACAGTCCTTGTAATGTGCGTGTACCAATTCATAAAGAAAGCAAACATAATTTAAATTAAAGCAATTGCATAGAATGGCTTAGTTTTTATTTAAACGCGTTTGTTTTTCTGAATATAAGCAATGCATTTTTTCAATTAAACACTGAACAAGTTTTTGAGTCATCCTTTGAAACGTACTTTGAAGCTAAAGGCAAATTGCACGAGGTCTAATTCCAGTATGTCCTACAAGGTTGACAAGATTGATAGGAAAGAAGGGTTTTCTTACAATTTGCGTTAAGATAAGAGGAAAATAAAAAGCTACCTTTATTTGAAGAGCAGTCAGGGTGAATAAACAAGTTTAAAGATCTAGAAAAACAACTCTACTTTATGTCAGGCTATGAAGGTTGCTCAACATCACAACACAACGAGCTCGCTTGTTGAATACATCGAACAACGTCCTTACGTTAACTATTTGCAAAAAGACTAAAACAAGTAATAATCATGTCAAAGTGTTCCGGCGTTAATGCCTGAAACGACTTGACGTTTCTATAGTCTTTACCAGGCTAATTTGTTAAAGCTCGATACAGGGATAATAGTAATAATAATGATAAAAAACAAAGTCCTAAGCTGACCAGCAACAGTCAGTTCCATGACAATATGGCGAGCATATTCAATAAAATGAAAAAACACTTATCTTCACAATTTGCTTTTAGTTAGTCATATTTACTCAACATCTACAACACTCTTTGTTTGGGAAGTCTTCCGGCCTTTCATATTGCTTTAAGTAGCTTTAGTTAAACAAAAAGACGGGCATTACTCATCAAGATATGTTTTCAGTGCTACAACAAAGAAACGCACTGGAATCGGTCAACAGCACTAGTTCAATTCCATAACCAACACTTTGACTGTGGACAAAAAAAGCCAAAATTCATTCACAGTAACAAACACTGTTGCAACTTAGTGCTTTATTGGCAATGAGAAACACAACAATACTTAAGCGTTTACGGTAAATTCGTTATACGCAAAGGACACATAATGTAATCTAAACCTCAAGAAGAAAACAACAAAGCTCCATTATGCACGTCGAAAAATCGTGAAACACTAAGGTTTAGGCGCGTTGAGCCTGAAATATCTCCGTTGAAACTAGAAAGTTATCGTTTCCTTTTACCGAGACCACTGCAATAATTAGTGAGCTGATTGATTATGAAATAAAAATTCCAAGAAAGTCTAAAAGCACAGCTAATATTCAAGTTTCCTATACTTAGTTGTCTAATTATGGCGACTGTCTCGTAGACTTGGACAAGCTGAGGCAGAAGGGATATAGGTTATAAAGAAAACAGGAAGTGATTTTTCCTCGTTGTTTCAACCTACACAGTTCACAAATAATCAGCTGACGCACAATAACTAAACAAAAGGTTAACACCTATACATTAACAAAAGCAGAGTAAGGGACAAATATCCCTTACAAAACGTCACTGTAAGAGACATTTAACACCTTATCTTATTCAGTTCTTGGATACAGAGTTAAGTCAATGCAATTTCTGTGAAAAACGTTCAACACATCTCAAGAATGGAACACAAAGAAAGGAAAAGAGTATCAAATTATCTAATAGCAAAGAAGCTTTTTTTAGTCATTGCATGGCAGTAAACCTGCTTGGTCTAACAAACAATACAATATCAGGTTTTAATCAGCTATAGTAAACATTAAACATTTTTAAAATGACCAACTGCGCAACAAGTCTTATCGCTTAGAAAAGTGGACATATGACTTATCTCCAGGTGTTGGAAAACGTCTTGCTCCCTCCCCTGCCCAATCCCCACCCCCTATGCCTTAGTCCTTTTGTGTAGGATAAGAAGGGGGTATGATTACAAATTCCCTTTCTTTCAAAAGCATCCAGGATATAACTCTCAAGGCTGGCAGCATTTTACTATTTTAAGGTGGAATTTTGCTGACATGAAAAAAGGCTTTCCTAACAATTCTAGGCGACTCGAACGTTGAAGACATTTTTTTATATTCTTTCTTCACAATGGACACGAGCCCAGAGTTTTCTAATAGACATTGATAATTCGTGTCAGGTGTAAGTCTCCAGAAAGTCCAGCCAGGTTTGCACGGTATAGTAAACAGGAAACCTCTTGCCCATTGGTGATGAAATGTTAAGGAAAATGGTTATGAGCTATTTACTTCTATGGAGTAAAATACATGTTGCTCCGAGCAGAAATGATTTGTATTCACCCACGCATAGCGGAAAGGAACGATAATTGAGTTTAATGAAATTGCGGGTGACTGAATTCAAGTTGTTCATCACTGATGACAAAATTTGTTTTGTGTTTCAACAATTCTCAATAAAATGCCAGTTAAATTAGGCTAGAACTTGCATGTGATTACCAACTGATATAAAAGCTGCCTCTCTGTTTTCTTATCACTTCTTGCTGAATCGCACCTGGGCCTGTTTGTCCGCGCTTGTAAGCTGTCGATAAGTTGTTCGTACTTCCGGTTCAGCAGGGTGAGGTCACGCTGCTGTATGCATGCCCGTTACGCTTTTCCCGTTCAGCTTTCCGAGAAAGTCCAACTGACGCCAAATATAGGTGCCAGTTTTCTCCTTCAAGCCCCATGTAATTTTACTTTCTAACATTAAGCTTAAATGCTTGTGAAGCTTTATTAAAACATTAAAAAAGCATTGAACTTGTCTTTGTATGTTCGCCAGGCAAGTGCGACTGAACAGTATGTTTATGCGGGGTTTTGCGCCAGCGGTCTCAAATTCGTGAATAAGCAAAAATACTCTTCGTAATGGTTGAACAAGTTTAATAAGCTGCAGTAAGTCGTTGATTCGATGAGCGGGCACGCCTCTCTATGAAACAAAAGTTCGGGTCAAGGTTAATTCAAGCTTATTTTCCGTATCAGAAACGATCGAGTTACCAGAAATAAAACCTGTGATTAGTATGGAACTCACGTATACGTTTTTCAAGCGTTCAAAAGGTTAATTCTCTACTGCTACAACTTCAAAAGAAGAAGACTCGATCCCTTTGAAAACAAATCGCTCTAAAAACGACCTACTAAGTTTTACGTATCTAATAATTGTGAAAAAGTGTATGTCTTTTGTTACTTTTCTGAAAATGGCATTTTGAACGAAACTTACTACATATCCTCTCCCTAATTCCCCCATTTTTAAAATGTTACGTAACACAAAAAAAACGTGCGTGGTATCAGAGAACTAACTAAGAGAACTGGAAGTAAAATAAGCAAGATTAAACAGCGGGGCCGAGAATTTGTTCAATTCTCTCTCGTGTTATTTCTTTTGGTCTCGTGAACACTGTAAGTCAGAGCGAGGAGGTATCGGTCTGTTTACAATAAAGATAAAGTTTTGGTTGGTTGACGACAAAACCGTTATGGTCATTTAGTATAAAGAAGAAAGCATACAAAAAATATTTATTGATTAGAAGAACTACGGGCTTCGGCAACGGTGGTCTAGTGATTTTACAAGATTTTTTATCGTTTCGTGATCATCAAGATTCAAAAGGGATTAGCACCAATTGAGATAGAGAAGAAAGAGCTCTTGTGTAGTAACTCATGTGTCCTTCCGAATGCATCAACAAATGTTGTTCATCTTCGACGCATTTTTGTTTTTACACGCTAAGCTCGTTCTTTCGTCTAAAGACAAAGCCGCGCCTTTATTTTTGTCACCGGGATTTTCCAGTTTGTATCTGAAGTATATGAGCCCTTACCGAATCGGCGTTTTCTAAGACGTAGTCTATGAAATGAGTTTCTCCGAGAAAACTTTTCGAATGGGTACGCTTTTGCATTAATTCTTTATTAGAACCTTAATTAGTACCTTACTGAGTGACTGAGTGAGCAAGTTGGTATAGCTAACTTATCTCCTTATTTGTTTACTTTGAAAGCAGTTGCCCCAAGTAACACGGTTTCTTGTGGCGCCAGAATGGATGAGCTCTCTACACACCATTGCTCAACATCACAAGGACCTGAGGTACGGGTTCAAATACTGAACCTCATGGACATCTATGACAAAAAAACTACAAAGACATCGGGAAAGTACGAATATCGCCTGGGATCGTCGGAGGTGACTATTGTAGCCCATTCATCCGAAGAAATTAAAAGAGTTCGAGTATATGTGCAGAGATGCCCTGAAGCAACAGTAAGGACACACGACACAACAGGTACTTTTAGCAATCAAGACCGGTTTCCTATCACCCTACGAATGCTTACATCGAGTCAATCAGATAAGAATTGATATTCATAGAATGGAGAGTCTTTTCATGTGTTTGAAGCACCTGTCAAGGAACCAATTCAGTTCAATAAGTCTAAAATGTCCCCTAATTTTACTCAAACATTTTACTGTAAGGACTTATTTTCAAGAACGTTCGGAAAAAAAAAAGATTAATCAATAATATTTGCTCGGTTACCTGAAAAAAGAAAAAGAACTTTGCTGAATGCATATATTGATAACGAGTTAATTGTTCCTTAACATGTTGTTAAAGTGGAACCTCAATATATCGAACACCTTTCAGTTTATCAAAAACTGCACAATGTTACGAACAAAGGATTAACACAGCAGCTCAGTGACCTCAAATACCTGTTTGGACTTCTTTGAATTCTCTTCTGTGCAGCTTTTAGTAGCTTTAAATACCTGTAAAAAGGAGCACTGATAGAGAGAGTAGGGTAACAAAAATGAGCGCTCTTTCGGCCTCAAGTTTTTTAGCCAGATAAATATTTCGAGCTACCGACATTAGTTTTGTGAAACGTATACTAGGATAAACCCACACACTTCCTTTAATCGCGATTCATTGCATATCAGTGGCCACAAGGCACGTCATATTAAAGATTCAAACTGGTGAGTTTGTATCGAATGTATCTGAGTTTGGATAGATTAGAGTTTTAACTATGTATTTTGGCCTTTGCCAAAGGTCCTGTTGAACTAGAAGTAGACGTACAACACCATAGTCAGTCGCAGACGGTTGTCTCGGTGGATTTAGGATCAGTCCACAGAACCGAGGAAGGATTTGCAGTGTACCGACTAGACAAGTCTGACATCGTGGAGAGGAACAAATGGGAGCTGGTTATTATGATCGGTTTTCATACTGGAATCATCGCTGCCTTCAAATCAAAACCTTTTCGGATCACTACAAGAGCAAGTCAGAGGGCGAGAAACTTAGTAGAGCAGGAAGATAATACCATGGGTAATTAGAACACTTAGAATTTGTTTAAGTTAGACTTGTCATTGTCACATGCAACGCCCCTTTTATTGTCAGACTTGGACACTGCATTTTTACATTGAAAGGCAAATTCCGCGATGGCCAATTGATAAGTTTTCTGTCAAAAATGTATGAGAAACTCTCAAATTTATCTTAGTATTTGTTAAAACATACTGAAAAGTGTGAGAATTTTTACATCGGTACATGCATAAGTCTAGAATCTTCCACAGTCATAATGCGTTGAAACAATTTCAGTGTTTCAAGAAAAGAAAAGGGAGCTTAAGCAACAACGACGGCCAACGGCTACGAAAACGTCACACTGACTTTAAAAAAGTGAATTGGCGCTGCCTCCAACTTTATCGCGCTTATTCCATCTCGTTTAATTCGTCAAATGTTGGCAAATTTTTTTGGAGTTGAATTCTTAAAGACTGTATCAAAGTTAAGGGAAAGAAAGAGAAAGTTGTTGTCTTGTGTTCCCGTCCTCGACGAAACGTGAAATTAGCCACTTTCACGTCGTAGTCGTGCAACTACGGCTAAGAACTGAATGCACAAAAAAGCGTGATGCACGTGCTAAGTTGTTGTTTTGCTTATATAAGGCTATTGCTCTTTTTCCGTTCCCGTTGCCGTCGCCCTCGTCGTTGCTTAAGCTCCCTATCTGCGAACAAAAGCTACCACTGCACTCATCAAAGACATTATGCGAAGTCTAAAAACCACCAAAACAGAAAAAAAGAGCTATTATTTCTTTAGCCCTAATCACTGATCACTGCCCGAAAAAGTTACCACATCTATTAAACGCATTATAGTTTTAAAAAGGTTTAAACACTTATTTGTACTTTGCATTATTTCGTAGAAGCTCTTGAAGATGTGCTTCCCAGAGCATCTGCTCAAAGCTGCGATAGCGGGACCTTCTCAACACAAAGTTGCACATACTCCACTATTGCTTCAGGTAGAAAAATATGTCAAGGTTAGAAGTCAATAGTGAAGAGCCACTCATTCCAACTACAGTAGTTTATAATTCAAAAACGAAGAATAACTAGTAGGCTTTCATATGAAATAACAACCGTTTGAAAAAAAGAGAAAGAGGCTGAAAACTGACCATCACGGTTATCATGGTGCAGTTTCACTTTTTGGTTTAAACTTGGCCGAATTAACAATAAATAGTTTCAGTAACATGTACGTTATGAACTCTACAGGGAAGATAACAAGTTATTCTCTAAAAGAGAAACAAAGCATGAACACTTTTTGGCGCTTTTCGAGTTAGAACTAAACCTGAAACGCTGGCCCACTTATTTCAAGGGCTAATATATGTCTATCATGGTTATCGAAAGCCACAAAATAAAACATGAACCATTAATTCAGGTTAAGGTTTGCTTTTATTGCAATGGGTTTCTAGTCTTAAAGAAACACCGAAAAAGTCACACATTCTTTATAAATTAACTATCCAAGGGCAAAAAATAAAACTGGGATTAGCTCGTAGATTTCACCTCGCATGGCTGGGTATTGAATGACCAAGATGGGTCTCGAAGTTTATTTAATCAGTTCAAATTTCCTTTATAGACACAAGCGACGTTGTTAAAAGAGTGGCGTCTAAGCTTCGTCAGGAGTTTTCAAAGTTTAATCTTAAGGACGATACTCCCTGCCCAGCACGGAAAGCTTTTAGAACAGATCCCCTTGTGCTAGGCAAAGTTGTGCTTAGACCAGATACGACTTTGGACAAGACAAAGGTATGTCAATTTCTTGTGTGGTAGCTTTACTGCTGGTGTCGATGGTGAATATTGTAAAAACAATAACTTACATTTGAAAACGCGCCAAATCTTTTACTGCATCAAACCCTATGCTGTAGTAACCAATTGCCCCCTGGAGCTACTTTAAATTTCCGTTTCAGACCACAATCTGGCCGGGAAAATGCATTAAGGCTGTCAACAATTCTGCTTCCTACTATACAATATGTAATTAGCTTTCATTTAAGGCTTAAATATTTCCGGCCTGGTAATGGGGCCTGCGTGCAAAACTTCAGTTATCCCAAGCGAGATGTTTCTCCTTTTCCTTCCTTTTTCTTCCCTACTCTTTTGCAAAAGTTCTAATACAAGTTCGAATTCTTAAACTCGTTGTAAAAATCTTCGCCCATCCCAAGGATGGGGAGATAAACATGATTTATTTTTCTTGAATCTGTGGGCGATGCTTTGGACCCAATTTCGTTTTGGCGTCTTTCTATCCCTTAAATAGAAGCTTTGTTTGCAGGCTCTTTGGACTAACTCTAATTGAAATGTTGATAGTATGTTTAATAATAAACAAGGGCTCATGCATAGAACAATGATTTTGTGGTATAACCTTTCATCGACACTATTTTTGATACTGCCTGCTCACAGAGCATGATGACGTTCGTACATTATTGAGATAGGTAAAAGTACTGGGTTATTGCCCAAGAAATCACGGAGCGAAGAAAACAAAAAAAATACTACAAGGCTACATGTGATAGAACCTTTTAATGCACCTCTCCCTGACTAGACATCCTGGTGAAAACTCTTCCTCGTGTTTGACATGCTGCTTCTTAACGATGTATTATGATTGCACTGCTTTTGCATTCTCATTTTAGGTAGCCATGCACTACAATCGTGACATGCGTGCTCGCTACGTGGTTGAACAGCCAGATCTTCCTAACCTACTGAAACTTATGAACCTGAAAGCAAATTGCGCTAGCAGTGGTCGGAGAAGAGCAAACGGCTTTAAAACGGCTGAAGAAGATTTCTGGTGGGCGTGTGGGTTGTGTTTCTTCGAGCGACGTAAAAAATCAACAGTTAAGGCCCACGTGGCACAAAGAGTTTGTCAGAAAACCTCTTTGAGGAAAGAACTGAAACAACGAAGAAAGGCAATGGGACATCTGAAACGATACTCTAGTTGTGACTTTAGTAGCGAGAGGCTTGAAGGACTGGAGAATTGGACATGGGAAGGCCCTCAGTCTGTTTAACACTAGACTATCTGAAAGTATCATGGATATCCAACTCATGATATGGCAGCACGACAATGTTGCAGTGAGGTTCTGTTTTGTAAAACAAAACAGAACAAGAATCGATGAAAAAAGAAAAAGAATCGATGCTTACTATTTATTATCGCTAGTCAACCAAAAGCAGGCAGAGGACAAATGTGAAATGCAGGATTGGACAAAGACTTTGCTTCATCAGCTGCTTGCACTCCATGAAAGTAACATACCAGCTAATACAAAGCCTAAACAAAGTACGACGCATGCAATCAAGGTACCAACTACTTTTAAGAAGGTCACTTTGACTTTACAGTGATGTTAAAAAAACCCTTTCGAGGTTTCAACACAAAGGAGCTAGTTGCCTGCACACTCTGAAAAACTGCACATTCATATTCATAGTTTTCGTTCGATCGCCAACAGTAAAAGTGATTTTCTTCGACACATAACCCACGCAACTGGCAGTCGTTGAACTCTCTATGACCACTATTCCATTCTTTCATTCAATCCTACTTTGTATAAGATCATTCATCCTATAATTTACTTTCCTTAAGGACTTAAGGTTTTTGTCAGGGTCATACTTAAGTCTACTTTACACATCAATAGACAAATACTCAAGGAACAAACTGCCATTTCAATTAGTATTTTCAATACGCCATCAACAATAAGGCGGTTACACGACTAACCCCAACGTGAATGAATTGTCCCATACAAAAGTAACGGCCTCGGTTACATTTCATAAAAATGTGAGAGACAGAATATTATTTGTACACTGCGGTAGTTTTAAAATCGTTTTCTGTATATAGCATATCTGTATAATAATTATGCTATTAAAATATGATAAGTGGGTTTAGAATATACACACAGTGATCTTGGAGTTTTAAGCAATCTGATTGCTCCTCCATCGTGGGATAATTGTGCAATTTCTACTCCTTACCGAGTGGATAATGCGTAATCCTGAAAGCAAAGACAAAATGGCTGGCTTTGACTTGAAAGAACTTTTGAAAAATGCAAGAAGCGAAAGTAGTCATTCAAATCGACTTTTAATCGTTTTCTTTCTGAAACTGTTGAGATGACTTCGTGTGTACTATATACTTATCAATTAATCTTTGCAATCTGGGTGGAAAGGGGCCTTTGGAATATTTTCCTGGATTTCAAAGAATAACTGATAAACGTTCTCCCTAAATCAAGAACAGAAAAACCATAACCATCAAATAGATTAAGACATTTCCAGACGGTTACATAATAACGATATAAATTATTGATTGATCTTTATCTCAGTGACATGAGAATTTTCAAGACTAAGAGTAGATGGATGGTAGTTACATTATCTATGTTATAGAAAGAAAAAAACTTATTAAAAGATCCGTTAAGGGTTATTAAATGATAATCAGAAAGTTAAAACTTGTTTCGAGACCATCTTGAACTTTTGAACTACATGTAGATTCATCCTGGATATGAAAACAATGCCCGTGGGGGAAAAGGCCCTGAAAGAAACGTGCATTTTCTAAGGTACTGCTAATTCCACTTCGAAGCGGAATAAGCCAAACTTTGAGCTTTTAGACCAGGGTTCTCGACAGGTTTTTAAGGTAGCGGACAAATTTTTGAAAGAGCCGGACGCGAAAGGCGCGAGCTACCTCAGGGGTGTGGGGGCATGCACCCCCGGGGAATTTTTTAAAATAGAATACTCAGAAACGCTGTCTCCAGGGTCTCTGGAACCAGAGAATCAGTTTCCCAGGCGAGGGTGGAGTTCACTCAAATTCTTAGAAATGATGAGTTGAACAATTATTATAAAGCAAATCAGCATTTAAATTTAACATTTATCGTACCCCAACATTTTTCTAACAATTAAAAAATTCAGAGATCGAGTGCAATTCTGTAAAGGGCAGCCACCTTGGGTTTCTAATGTACCGAGGGGGCGACTGCATCAAGGTTTCTGCACTAACCTATATAAATATAAACACAAATGCAGCAAATCACTGAGAATATTGGATTATGGCCTGTGCGGTAACGCCATAACGCCACTTTATCAAAGAAAATGCAAACAACTAGTACAAAATAGAAATGAAAACGTCAAATAGAGTAAGCCGTGCCAGGGGGGCCAGAAAAAACCTAACCTAAAAAACCCCGTGGGGAAAAAGGGATAGGAAATCTGGGGCGGGCCAGGCACGACTTAAGTCCCCCGCCAAGACTACTAATAAACTAAATAATTGTAATAAACAAACGAAAACTAAATAGCAATAGTTTGAGCAACTTTTAAGCGATCACTAACGGTGTGCTTAATGTATCTGTTCTTTGAAGTGGCACATTTCCAGCCAGCATGCATATCTAGCAGATCAGCGGAAACACTCCGACAAGCAGGATTTGAGGCGGCACCAGACTTTATACTGTGCGTGCCGTAAAGAGCAATGTCACCTACAAATGGTTTAACAAATTTCTTAAATTCATCTCTTAGCGTTGAATATGAAACTCCTCTAGAAGCATGAAAACACTCCCTAGACTTAGTTTTAACGATTCGCCTAACGAGGGGCGAAGATGACTCACAAGTTGAAGGGAAAAGCTTAAGTAACCTTTCGGTGATAGAAACTGGGCAAGTAGCCTTATGAGACCTAGCTAGAAAGGACGTATGCCCTTCTCTATACTGATCATTTTTGCGTTTAGGAATAAAAACTGACATGTACTCGTTGAAAATAGAGACATCTCTAACTGTCAAATTGCGAATTTCGTCCATACGAAAAAACCCAGCAAAGCCAACCAAGAGGACGAAAAGAAAACGAATAACGGCAAGCGAACTACTAGAAATATAATATTCAGCGATCCTTAAAACTGTGTCAACGGATAAAGGCTCTAGGGCATTCTACAATACCGGCCAGACTATGACCCCACTTAATACCATAAACAACTGACTCTATAGGAGATATCCCCGTATTATTAGAAATAGAAACAGCAGTAAGTTCGCTGATAAAGAGAGCAATGTGCAGTGGCTTCGCTGGAATAACTGAAACGCCAATCTTAGAATCTGCCCATTCACGCCATCTGATCCAGCCAGATCTATACTTCTGCACGGTAGAGGGAGCCTTGGACTCAAACTGTAAATGGAGAAGGTCTGGAACAAGCTTGCGCAAGGATGGATCGGCCAGAGAATTCGCTTCACTCCAAATCCCGGATTGGAGAACATCTAAAAAATAAAATAAAACTAGGCAGGAAAAGGCAAAACATTTAAAATTATAATACAGTAGAAAATATGATGCTGCATCATAATCATGCAGCACGGACAGTACTACAGCGTAAAAACGACATGTAATGAGAAACAACGACAAACGGAAGCCGAACTGGCTGGGCCCAGTAATGCTTTAAAAAACTGTAAAAAATACAACAAAATAGCAAACATTCGATAAAACAAATGTAGACCAATAAAATAAAACATAAAATAAGGCCCACTGACGGCGCCAAAACAGGCAAACTGCGTGGTGAAGCGGACATCGAACTCCGAGCCAAGAAGACGCTGCCAAATCAGGCAAAAAATACACCGCCAAATCAGGCAAAAATACGCTGCCAAAACAGGCAAAACAAAGCTGCCAAATCAGGCAAAAATACACTGCCAAAGCAGACATGATAACGGTGCCGAATCAGGCAAATAAATAATACCAAAACGAAGCTAACAAAAGATAAACCTAAAACACCGACAATAATGAGCTGTAAGGGGAGACAAAAATGGGAAAGCTCACCTAAAATCTATCCGCAAAGCTAACATTTTAAATTTCGGGCAGCCGCTGAACACCGACGGACGCGCTTTGTAAATCTGCTTCTGTCCTGGACCCTCCAGCAAGAGGTCTTCAATACAAGGAAGCTCAAACACTTCTTTAACAAAAGACTTGAACTGGGAGGCGTTGTCGTGCAAAAAAGGCCAAAAATAGGCCGAAGGCCATTGTGGAACGATCAAAGTGCCGTAACCGGAGCAGGACGAGAGAGCCCTAACTGAAGGCACAATGGCACCCACCGGAGGGCAAACCCAGTTATTCTCATGTCGCCAATCCTGAGCCAAGGCGTCCACACCGCTGCAACCTGGGGAAGCAAATTTAGAGTTGAACCTCGGAAGCTGGGCATTGTAATAGGACGAAAAGCGATCAATTGTGTGAGGGCCCCATTTAGCGTCGACAAGTCGAAATACCGAGGGATTGATGGACCAGTCGTCTTTATCAATAAATCTGCTAAGAAGATCTGCTCTTTCATTAAGAGACCTAGGGATCCACTGGGCTTCGAGAACGATGCTGTTGGCAAGACAAAGATTGAAAATATCCATAGCCAGGGCCTGGAGGTGAGATTTGGAGCTTCCGATAGCAACTATTCTGGCGGCGGCCTGATTATCAGTGAAGATTTTAACTCTCTTGTGTTTCAGTTGAGCCACGTAAGAAAGCAACACGTAAAAAATTGCTTTCAGCTCGCGAAACGTAGAGCTTTGGCCGATATCCTCGCTCTCCCACATGCCGCTAACGACGGAGCCGTCTAAAGTAGCCGAAAATCCTCCGAACGCTACGTCGCTAGCATCGGAAAATACAACGGTATGCGTAGCTAACGGTGGCCTAATAGAATAGCCGTTTAAGCAGTCGATGTTGCAATACCAAAATTTCAGTTCTTGTAAAAGGCTCGGAGGAAAATGAATTATGTCATCCCAAGCCGATCTGGTTTCAATGGCGAAGTACATTTGTCTGGTCAAAAGACGAGAAATTGGACCAACAGCTAACGCAGCTGAAATGATAGTGCCTGCTATTCTCGCTAACTCGCGAAATGAAGAGAATCCATCCTGAATCGCAGAATCTAGCAAGCCTTTAAGCTTGAGAACTTTCTTCTCGGGAATCCGGAAACACATTAAAATAGTATCAATAACGAAGCCTAGCCATTCGCCAATTTGAACTGGATCCCAGTGAGACTTTTCCTCGTTACAAAGAAGACCAGATGAAGAGAGCTCTTTACGTTGAATTAAGCTAGCTGCCACGGCAGAACATTTGTCTGGTCGACTCCCGAAACCATCGTCCAAATAAATGAAACTGTTGTGTCCCATAGAACGCCAACGCCTAACTAACGGGCGCATTAACTTGGTAAAACAAAAGCAAGCGCTACTTAACCCGAAAGGCAGTACTGTAAAGGAAAAATATCTGACGACGCCAGAAAAAGGCCACGCGAAACCAAGGTACTTTTGGTGGTCGAGACAAATATCGACATGGTGGTAACCGGACTTAAGGTCCCAAGAGAAAAACCAGTGTCCTTCATCGAGAACTTGAGAAAGCGATCGTAAGTCCTCGTACTTGAATATAGGTTTTACTAAATAATTGTTTACGTGTCTCAGATCGATAACCAGGCGAAGCTTCTTCCCAACAGCGACTGTCAAAGGATTAACACAATACGGGGGGAATTCGTGCTCAACAATGCAGCCGTTACTTAAAAGCTCGCTAATAGCATCAGCGACAAATTCCGGATGCTGAAGAGCTGATCTATTGTTCTTCAAAAAGCACTGCGAGGGGTACTCGGCAAACGGCAATCTGTAACCGCGCCTAATCATATCAAGGACAAAATCTGGTGCATCTAAAGTCTCGACCCAAAAGTTAAACGAAGATTGCAAGCGACCTTTCACGCCACTGCTTCCGCCTTTCGCACTAAACTCGTCGCCACAACAAGACAATAAATGAATTAAATCACACTCAACTTCATCACAGGTCGACGAGTCGCCATCTAGTCAATCGCGTCGAGAGCTACTCTTCGAAGAATCCGCAGGCTTCAAGCACGTGGAACTCAAATGACCAAAATCCCCGCACTGAAAAAAGGGGAACACATACAGAAAAACATGAAAATAAAATCCATAACATAAAAATAAAAGAACAGTGTTGTAGCGTGTGGCGTTGCAGACCCGAAGGAAGAACATACTGACTGACAACAACATATATGAAACGCAATTAACACGTATTACGTAACTACTGAACACTTCATTGAAAAACACAATGAAAATACCAAATTCAGAACGTGCAGAAAACAAATATCTGCTAAACTTCGTACCGCAGATATTTTGATATTCTGCACTAACCTATATAAATATAAACACAAATGCAGCAAATCACTGAGAATATTGGATTATGGCCTGTGCGGTAACGCCATAATCGACGAAGAAAGAAACAAAGATAGTAAAGCGAAAAAGTGCTTGGTACTTATCTTAAAACAGGGACCCAAACGACGAGCTGGTCTAGCCTCCGGGCGTGAAACCAAATCGCTGGATGCGTATCTTGACGAAGTCGCCCGAGATGTAGAGGCGGAGCCACTGCCTTTGTCGCCAGAACGGGCACGACGACGTTTTTCCTTAGTGACCTTTCTCTCAGCTCTCCTCTCGGCCCGGTAAATTCTCTTCTCATCATCTGAGTCAGAGGCGAGTTCGTCGGATAGATACTCATTGACCGTCGCCCATCCAAACTCGCTCTTGTCGGCTAGCTTTATTGCTTTAACACGCTTGGACACTAATTCCGTACCTGACTCCAAAGCAGCCTTAACTTTTTCATAAGATTTGTGCTTCAGTGCGTCGGAAGCTTCGTCTAGCTTGTCCAGCACCTGGAGGGAATGGTCTAACTGCTGCTGGTTATCCTTTCTCTTGCACGTGTATTGCTCGCGACGCGCCTTCTTAACAGCTTGCTCAACGGACGAACTGTTTTTTTCTGAAAAACGCTTGGCAAAATCGGTAAGCCGAGATTCAATGACCTGTGTAAGGTTGTCGGTTAAAGAACCTATAGAACGAGTAACGGCAGCCTGTATAGCAGCGCCAATAGAAGGATCTACGACTTCAGGGTTCGGACGAGAACGAACATTGCTGTCCTCCGCGTCACTCATGTTAAACAGAACAGTGTTGTAGCGTGTGGCGTTGCAGACCCGAAGGAAGAACATACTGACTGACAACAACATATATGAAACGCAATTAACACGTATTACGTAACTACTGAACACTTCATTGAAAAACACAATGAAAATACCAAATTCAGAACGTGCAGAAAACAAATATCTGCTAAACTTCGTACCGCAGATATTTTGATATTCTAGTGGGCTTACATTTCAAACCAAGATGGCCGCCTGTTTCCATCCGTTACAGTAAAGCCCTCGATCTCAAAGATCCTATGGAAAAATAGAGGACTGTAAACGTGAAAGTAAACTGTAAACCATGCAAGTAGCCTGCGAACAGCAGACGTTTCTCCTCGCTCATCGCCGCTGAGGGACGTTTAGCGAGGCATGACGCACGGTTTCCTTTAGTAAACGCATAAGCACCGTCTTCTGATGCATTAAGAGAAGCGAGAAGTGGGTCAAACCTGCTGTGCAGAAAATATAACGCAGCGAACAAAGCAAGAAGTCTTTATCAAACAAGCGCACAACTATCAACAACAACTTCACGTCTAGGCGGTTTAACACTATCATTATTTCGAAAACAGTAAAGTAGAAAAGTGGAAAAAAAATTAATAGTAACGCATTACATGGTAAATTTCAGACCAGTTCAAGTATTTCCATGGGTATCCAAGGCTTTTGAACATGTTCTACATCAACGACCGCGGACGGATTACAGACTTATTATTTTGAAAACATTTTTCATAATTTCTTGATCGGTTGCAGAGAACTAACATCACGTTTGTCGGTTAGCACTTCCTGTGCTCATTGAATAGCGGGAGAACGATCTTGACATACACAATATGATTGGAAGGAGAGCAGGTGATGTCAGGCTTTTGACTGCCTCTGATATGATTAAACTCAATTTTTTTAGTTTACGTTGGGCCACGTACTTTCTTTAAACGTTAGTCCCCCTTCTCTGGGTGGAATGAGGTGTCAAGAGGAATCTGAGATGGTTTTTTTTCTTCGGCCATGAATTATTGAATACGCAATTAAACAGTGTTTAGTCATAAAATGCACAAATTGGAAAGATAAAATTATCCACGGTTCCAATTAGAATGTACGTGCTTTTGAAAACTATCTAAATACTGATCACCTTAAGAATGCAACTGCAAGGTTATAGGCCCCGCCCACACGCATCTGGATATTTTTAAAAAAAGGAGATTTCTTTTCTCCGTTTTATCCTTCTGTCCATATGTAAAGGGTCATATTCAACTTCATCCGTTAATTGCTTATTATCTTAACCTTACCTTTCGCCTGTCTTGGGGGTAGGAGTGAAGCGGTACACTCGTTCTGAAAAAGATAAAGCTTTAGCTTATTGTAAAGAAAGTGTACTCAGCTTTCCAGCTAGTTTACGGACACTCCACTCAAATAAGTAGAAACCAATAACCCAGAGGTAGCCAGTTGGTTATTTAATTTACAAGCGTGGGGGAGGATTTGAATTTGAGACTACCGAAAGACAAATCCAGCAAGTGACAGGAGCGGGACACGAACCCGGGACCCAAAGACGCGCTGACCCGGACCCGCCGGACACGCTACCTCCCCGTTATGCAATACTTCCAATCGTGATTTGTATTTGCTCCTAAGACCAATTCTGCAGATGCACTTAACGTTTCTGTTGATGTCTGAAAGCCATTCGTTGTCAGGGCAGGAAACGCCGGTCGAGTCCACAAGCGGTCTTCACCAATCGACTTTTTCATTCTTTCCATGAAAAATTACATAGCCCTTTCAGCTAACTCGATTGATATTAGGTAGGGTACAGTTGGGCAAATTTATGGTGGATCCCATTCGCAATTCAAGGAATTGACAAACAATTCTGCATCCTCGAAAGTTGCTACAATCTTCTGTAACGACAATCTGTTGTGCCGAGCTCCAACCTAACCGCCGATTGCTAATCTTGTGTAAAGATTTGACCACCTCTAGATCGTGTGCAGGTAATCTCATTTTCAGCATTTGAGACTAAAGCTGCTTGTGTCTGACGTGATCATTTTTTACAAAGACGTTTTTGCAGTCTATGACACAGACAGCTCGGAGGAAAGAATCCGATAACTCCCAACAGTAGTCGATTCATAACCCTCAGGTTACTGGTCCATATGCTCTGCCACTGAGCTAAAGGAGACTCGAGGGAGCTAAGGCCACTAAACTAGGTTCATGAGACAAACATTCTCCAAACTACTAGGATTTGGATGTTGATATGTGCTTATGCGTAATGACAGAAAAGTGATTGTGAATATTAAGCCGTGGAGAATACATGGGAAAGATGTTATTCCGGTAGTGACGCAGGCGGCTCGGAACCCATATCTTTTGGTTACTATAGTCCAGATACTCTACCGCTAAGCTTCAGGAGACTTGGGGGAGCTAATGCCACTAAACTAAGTTCATGTGACAAAACTCCTTCATTCTGCTTGACCGAAATGTCGATATGTGCTATACTAAATGATAGAAATTTTTAGGTGAATTTTAAGCCTGCTAAATACATGAGAAAGCTGATTTTCAGTCAGCCACACAGGCGGCTCGAAAGAAAATAGTAACATATATTTTCCTCTCCCTGCTGCTCTCTTGTCCCGGGTGTGCCACTTGGTTATAAGGAGTCTTCTGCCCTCGCCAGCTGTAGAAGAGGTAGCAACAGTCTCCTTCGTGCATGTTATAAAGTTGGAACTTGCAGGTTCAGACCTTGACGAGAGTCAGATATGGGAGGGGATAACGCGCAAGGCCAGTTATGTTTAAATTACTCAAGCAAATCTTAATTTCTTTGCAAAAGCGATTTTCATTAAAAAATTTACTCAATATGACAGGATCATTTTTTCCCATTGGATGTGGTCAGCTTATTTTCGCTTGACGTTAGGAAATGCAAGGCATTATCTGGACTCGGGCGCTCTCTGTCTCCTCGACCACAAAAGAATTGGAATCATCCCAAGTTCTCGGTGGTGTACTACATGCGTTTCCCTCCCTCAAACACTTTTGCATCTTTTTTCCTAGCACGAAGGCTTTTTCTTTGAGCTTCCAACAGCAGACAAAATGACGGCTATTCGTTCGTTGGTAGTAGCCATATTTAAATGATCTGATGACGAAAATGTCCTTAAAACGAATTCAAAAATTGCATGTGGTCCATTCCCTAGCGGAAAACAGAGATAGACTGACGTAACATACTTAAAAATAAATTTTACTTTTTGAGTTTCTAGTTGAAATAATGCAATCTCTTGGACAGCGGCGCCATGCGTTAAAAGACAACCCCCACCCACCTTATCCACCCTTATTAAAGTAAAACAGTTGGTTTCCTATTAGTGTATACTTTGATTAAGTAGAGGGTAAGGTAAGGTACGACAGAGTGGATTACTTCTGTAAAGACTTGAAAGGTACGGAGAAAAGATTCAGAGGACAACAAAAGTCAAAGACAATTCTTTATTGACAGCAAGTGATCCAGCCACAACACAGTGACAAAACACAAATAAATAATATTTGTTCATAATAAACTATTCTACGGTGTTTTAAGGGGCCACGTCACGCTTTTTAAAAAGATAAAAGGTTTTTTTGCATGTATTGAAATCCAAAATTAAATGGTTCGGTTTTGTTATTTAAGACTATATAGGCATTAAAAATGTTTCCAGTTGCTGCAGCAATACCTGGCAGGGATGGATATGGATTGAAACCTAACTTTTAATGCTATGCCTGCAAAAATCACCCACAAAAATAATTCGGTTAGTACTCCCTGATTAAACTTATTTGATATCTTCTTCAAAACTCTACTGCAGGAGCATTTGGATCATTTTACGTTTCTGGGAAACTGCCCACCTACCCCTCCCATAAGCCAACATTAACACTTACTTCTTACTTAGGGCAAAATGCTGGCTTCGGGGAGGGGTAGGTGGGCAGTTTTCTAGAAACGTAAAATGATCCGAGCATTTTGTGTATGGGTAAAGGCACCAAGTAAAGACTTCAACACAGAATTGACCTAAAACAGCAAAATCTTCGTGACATAGTCCCTGTAACTTTTAAACCTGTCAATTTTGAAAGCGAAGATCTATAAATCTCTCCGAAGTCGAGATATTGTATAGCCTGAGAACACAGCCGACATTTGGCGACGCCATCACTGATTTCCCCGCCAAATGACGTCTGAGAAACGAGCGCAGAAATTCCATGCTAAGGACGCGTCGCTACCCAGATCTGGTTAGTGGTTCACTGCTTCTGATTGGTCGTGCTGCGTGGGAAATTTGATTCAATCAATCAGAAGCACTACTCAGATCTGGGTAGTGACGCGTCATCAGTATGGAATTTATCATAAATTGAAAAAATGAAATAAAATGAAAAACAGATAAAGGGTCGATTAAGCTTAATTTACCCGCAAAACCAAAATCGCGAGGGCCAGCCTCTCTGAAATTCATACTTAATAACAAAAGCAAAGTATGGCTCAGGGTCAACTTTGTTGCATCCTCAGTCATAAATTAAACTCTACGATAACAATTTCACCATAGTTCGTTTAAACAAATAAGCTCTGGTATATACAAAAAATTTACAAAATTTGTCTCTGTTCCATTGACAAAACTGCCATATTCTAGAAAAGTGTCTAATTTAATGCAAGAAGTCTTTTACTTCCCCCTTCTTCATTTTCTGTACACCTCATATTTACAAAGAAAGTATTATGAGCTAAACATTTTTATCCCTGAATGAGTGAAAAGGATACTTACAAAGTTATGCTGAACCAGAAGAAAAATGCGTTTACTGCTTTAAAGACACGCGGATGCTATATCCCTCGTTGAAATGTTAGTAAAATACAGATTCTATAATCGGAGCTTCTTTAAATACTAGTCGCACAAGAGAATGCAAGCGGAGGTCATTAAGGAGGCCACTAAAGCCGTATTTACAGACTTTTCCAGTAGAAAAAAATATTATACAACATTCTACCAAATTCTAATGTTAGAAAACAGCACAAAGGCAAGTCAGTGGAATACTGATTCTTTTCTTTTCTGAGTACTAGTTGAAAACATCGGAAAGGTTCCAGAAACCAAAGATTCGTGGAATCGGGAATCTCTAGAACACACCCTCTTTCTCACACAGAAAGGGAATCTTTCCACGAAAAGTAAAACCTGTCTGCCTCGAGTTCGCTGCAGCTGTGGTTGCGTTTCATTAGACGCTTTGCAACTGAATCTGCTTTGGATTTTTTATGATCCACCGTCTTTCGGCAGACTTTCTGAATTAAGTGCGCCTTTATAGTTGATTTCTTGCGGCGTTCAAAGAAACAAAACCCGCATGACCATGTGAAATCCTCGTCAGCAGACTTGTGTCCGTTTGCTTTAGGACGGGGTCCAGTCATTCTGGATGATTTACAAACTAACTTCAGTAAAGCAGGGAGTTCAGGCTGCTCTATGACATATCGAATTCTTCGGTCTGCACCATAAAATGTAGTGATCTATAATCAAATCATTCACTAGTCAGTTGAGTTTTTATATAATTACTCAAAACTGTTTGATAAGCTAACGCGCCTGGGAGTCAGGTAAGTTGCACCCAAATTTCGTACTCTTATATCCAACCTAAATTTCGTACCCTAACAATGTTCTATTTTCTTCAATTTACATTACTACATAAAGGCTTACCATATGACGGTCTAGAACAGTGTTCAATTGAAGATGGATTCTCTCTTCAGCAGAGGGAAGAGATGTTGAATTTAGGTTACAGTCAGGCTCTCCTGTGTAATCTTCTTCCTTTACCACGCTGAAAGCCTTAAAATCTTGACTCAAAACTGAAGTGTCGTCTGAAAAATCTGGTGATAAACACAAATTACCTGTCATTGGCACCAAATGCAGAGACACACGGTTTCTAGGCAACCAGGGCGTTGGCGAAAGGTATGAGGCTTTTAAGGTATGAAACTTCCATTTTTTTACGGAAAGCTTTCCACTCGCGCCCAGGACTGAACGCAGGTAATAAGAAGTATTTTGGAAAACTTTTGTTTATGAGCACCGCACATTTCATTAGCGTTCGATCATGGATATCTGAAAGTTTCTTAACGTTCAGAAAAGAAAAATAGTCCTCCACCTGCCATTTGACATGGCGACATGCATGTTTAGTAAAAGTTTTAGTTTATGTGGTAGAACCGTCAGATCACTCCCCGCATTTTAATCACAGTGTTTCTAAGTGTTGTGCAAACTACTGCTCTTTGTAATAGCCTACAAACCTAGACAATCTTTCCCGCAGTTATTCCTCCGAGGTAAGACCACGGAAACCGATTAATGAACTTAAAAGCTGATGAACAGAAAATAGGACTTGATTAGTTGCTCCTTGTTTCGGCACTGGCTTTGTAACAAGCATTTCCTGCATTAATCTTCAAGGCAGCTAGTCAACGATAAACTTCATGGGATGGTTGTAATGGTTCGAGTTATTTTTCTGTCAACAGTTGACCGAATAAGAGTTTTCGTCAAATTGATCGGCAGAAATGAGTTGTTAAAAAACCAATCCAGTTACAGAAACGAAAACTGTACAAAAAGAATTAAGTTGTCGTAAAATTGTTAACTAACCTTTTCCAAATCCACGGTCTGCAATAAACTTGCAGTCGCCACGAACAGGGGTGGATTTACTTGACTCTGTAATTGTTCTCAGTATTCTTTGCACTTTACCGGGGCTAGTAACGAATTCTATAAGACAACGGCAAATAACTTCTATCAAAATTTGCTTTCTGTATAGGTGACGCTTAAAGAACCATATATCAGTAAGGACTATAATTGCGACCATGCATTACTTGTAAACACTTGATGTACCTAGACAGAAAAACTGGCAGGGGTAAGAGGAAATTACAAATACGTGCTCACGTGTGGCAGTACTGTAAAGAGAGCGCACATTAACTTCAAGGTTTCGAGTTTCTGTCAATAGACCTTTTTACTGATACGGCGGCCATATTGAATTACTTAGATTTAATGAGTATTATGCGATGCCCAGGGGGCATGAGCAAGATCCGATCTACTCGCTCGGTATTTACGCGCGCTTTTCGGGCCAATTTTTCTTTAAGTTTTCCTAGAAAAACATTGTATTGAAAAAAAAAAAGATCGTTGTGCCGTGTTTGGATGTAATAATGATCGCCTTTTTCCCGAGAAATATACAGTGAAGTTCTCTTTTTGCCCGAAAAGCGCTCGTAGATACTGAGCGAAAGCCCTTTGAGCATCCCATAATACTCCTTAAATCTACTTGGCCGCCGTATCGGTAAAAAGGTCCATTGATTGTTGATACAGTTCTCATAAAAATCAAAAATACAAAGATAAAAAATTGCTTTCCGAGTCAAAATTTTTTCATCAATTTTCGATTCAAACTAGCGCTTATAAAGCTCAGCTTGGCTCTGCATGACTATGATAATTTAAACGATTTTATTGTTGTTGTTGTCGCTTTTTTTTAATAACCAGCTCTGTTTAGGCAATAACACGTGCACTTCAAACTTAATCTACAAATTTCAGTCTAAATTGACCCCAATACAAACAGGGGCACCCAACGACTGTTTTCTGTAAAATACTGTTCGGAGAAGCAGATGTTCCCTAGAATTTTCTATCACTTGAGGACGGCTAAAAATTTCTAGATGACCGTTCTGTTCATGTACAATTTTCGAAGCTTATTTAAGAAATTCCCTACGATTTTCCTAAGTTTAATTTCTCACATTTCACTCCTCACGTTAGGCATATTTTCGCAGAAAAAAGGAAACCTAAAGTTTTCGGATTCAATAATGTGATCGAGAGAGGAATCAGTAAAATTCTCTTTTTCGTCATACGTTAAATTGCATCAAATAAAAATTTTCGAGAAAATAGTACTGAAGCCCTTGTATTTTCGAAAAGACTCAAGTTCCCCTAGGATGACCGAACAGGTACAAATCCTATAGCGCTGCTTAGAAGGCATTTCTAGAGATCTAAAAGAGCTCTGGATAGCCTAAAAAGTGTTTTCAATGTATTTAGGGGGAAACCGTCGTTCAGCGCCCCTGATACAAATTCGTTTCAATCTCCTCGAAACTGATTTGCTCATTAGCTCTTCCTTTTATGGTTTCCCTAATGTCTCGTTAGTGTTGTAATCTACGGGTCTTAAAAGGCCGCTTTTTTTAAAGTTCCCTCACAATCATTATACTGTTGTTAATACAAATAGACTCCTACAAACCTCCGTTCTTTTTCATCTTATACTGTGACTTGGTGGTCACTCGGAACGGTCTTGACTTTACCGATCCTGCCAAGCCTGAGCCGAAACTCATTTCGATTATCAGCTCCCATTTATTTCTCAGCAAAACTTCTGCTTTTTCAAGCCAGTAGAAGGCATCTCCGTCTTCTGTTTTGTACACTGACCCTAGGTCAACTGTAAGAACTCGACGTGTGCCGCCATAATTCTGTCGGATATGCACGTCTAGCTCAACTGGACCTATATGTGTAAAAGCTCTGTTGTCAGAGGATATGGAAAAATAACAGTGCGAGATAGTGTCAACATCTGTCAGTCTTGAAACTGTGCTGTGAAAACCAAAAGATCGTCACTGGAACGAGTCACGTATATAAATATTGACTTGTTTACTAATGAAGGAATCTTGTCTCGGCAACGCAATTCAGGCTTGACTATGACATCTCTTCCAGCATATTATATTAAGCCAGAACGATTAGATCCTTTTAATTTTAAAAGGCATTTTAAAAGGCAGTTTTCACAGTTTTCTCAGTATCGATATGGCCCCAAGCTATGCGTTGAATTATATTTATTGAACTCTTTCCAATCAATAAAGAAACGAGGACCGTCGATTTTACGTCATTCAGAAAGATGTAAAATCAATATGGCCTTTGTATCAGTAAATTAACATTTTGAGCAACAAATCTCAACTGTCCCCAGTGTGTAACGCTTCAGTCGTATAAAATACATTATATTGTCCACAAGGAAAAGGAGCACGGGAAACTCAGGTCTATTATCTCTTGTCTAAGGCAAACGTGGTAGGCTAAGTTTTACTTTGCATCTCCCAGTCGTTGCAAAATACAAAGCATTTTAAAGCAGTCTATTGTACAAATTTTCCAACCACGAGTACCATAAGTTTCTATTGGTAAGATTTTGGGTAAGGGGATCATTAGGTAACTCCCAGAACAGAGTGTCGTACAATCTTCTCTTCTCTCCAACATTATACAATTTACATTGGCCAAAAAATAGATGGTGAGAATAGGCAAATTCATCAGCCAGAAGATGTTGTGGTGATCAGATATAACACTAAATTCTCTTATTTAACATTCAATAAAATGTATTGCATTCTGAAAGAAGAATTACTAATCAGATTTTGGAAGTTAAAGGGTTAACGGAGGGTCTCAATGGGGTTTACCATCAGCCGTCAAATAGCCTAAAAATTAACCGTCAACCGTCAAAAAGCTTCAAAGTATTTCAAATCTCACTATTTCAGCTGATCTTCACGGCATTCCGGCTCCTGAAGAATTTCTAAACTGAATAAAACAGTTCCCATGTTCTCAAAAACACCGGCCCTTTGTAGTCTTTCAACCTGCTTATATCTAAAAATATTTCAAAAAAATATGAGTGAAAGGCCAAGACAACTTCCAAAACACAACAGTTAATATTAATTTATACAGAGGATAATATTTACTTTAACCTTTTGGATTAAATTTCCACTTCATAACCGTCAACCGTCAAAAGCTCTAACAATTTACCGTCAGCAGTCAACATATTGGAAAACATTTTATAACCGTCAACCTTCAAAGCTACAACCCATTGAGAACCTCTTATAACTGAGTGTAAAAAAAGATAACTACCTATAGTGTCATGTGTTCTCATTGCAGCCTCAGGACACCTCTGAGTAAAAGCTCGAACGCTGGTGATTGTTTCTGATGCTTGCACCACAACGGTGACTTCTGAATCATCCAAGCGATACTCTAGCCCTTCAAGGGTTTTCTTGGTCTTTTTGTCATAGACCTCTTTAAGGTCTATTATCTGGACTTCCACCTCAACTTCTGGGACTTTTGTTACAGTTGCCGCTAGGCTAGCTTCCATATTTCCTTTAGGATTGAGAAAAAAACAATGCGTTAGATATTTTTCTTGAGATTTCTGTTTGAATATTTCTCTTTTGAAGAGTTAAAGGCCTTAAAGGGCAGAAAAAAACTCGCAAGACGATACTCAACCTAAGACAGTCTTTGCTTGCAAGTATCAAAACCGTGCTAATGTGCTAGTTGCAAAACTTGTCATCATATGGAGGATTACATGAATAAATTAAATAAAAGGAAAAAATGTTTAAAGGCTTGTTCATAGTGGAGAGTGCACTTAGCTCATGCAGCTAGTTTACAGGCACACCACTCAGATACTTAGAAACATAAATCAAATACAACATAACAGGATTAAAACTCCTAACTGGCAGGAGGCAACCAGTTAGCCATTTACAAGCGTGGCCGTAGGATTTGAACTCGGGACGATCGAGAACAAATCCAGCAAGTCGCCAGAGCGGGACCCGAACTCGGGACCACCGGATTGCGAGTCCGACGTGCTGACCACTCGGCTACGCTGAGGAATAGAAAAGAAACAAAAACGTGAAAATTGTCTCCTACGTTTCTTGTGAACAAGGATGTCTCCGATGGTAGAACTTGATAATCTGATAGCGCATAGTATGCCAAGTGTGGAGATGACAAGCCATTTGCTAAATATAATTATGTCAAATTTACAAAAATAATTTTACCTGGGTTATTCCCAGGATGATATCCATTTGAAAAATCACTGGATTGAAGAAAGAAGCTCAAGTCGTTGATTTCTGCTGGTGAAAGTGTGCCTCTAGCACTTAGAGGCGGGAATCCTAGCTCTGATTCAATGAACTCGTCGATGTCGTGGAGTTTTTCTTCCAAATCATAGTCCATTGTCATTTGAGGACAAATACAAAAATTATTGTGTGTGTTACGTATTCTTGAAACTGGTCCGTATTGCATGAGTGCAGCCCTTAAGTACGGCGGGGTCCACGGTCACTTCCCATAAATTTCTCCACCCACTCAGACTTCCTATTGGTCTGTCACGACATCTCGACGCGAGAGTAACTTTTGTAGCATTTGTGCGATACCCCGGAACCTAAGGAAGTGCTAAGCGGGAACTCTGATCTTTATAGCATTTATGGCCCCATATCCGATATTTGAGAGCCTTAACCGCAAATTAAAGCAGCTTTCAAGAGTTTATTCAAGTAGGGTAAAATCTAGCCAAAGTAAAATTAAGCGTTTAATAGAAGATCCTGAGGAGATATTGAATACGTGACTAGTCCAAGATCATTCAAAGTATTATTGGAGAAACAGAATACAAGGTTAGTTCAGTGCTTCCATTCCGGCTTAGGATACTGTATAAGCCATATAACGGTGTCATGTAGGCAAAGTGACCAACAAAAGCAAAGGCGAGAAAGATGGCACCAATGGAACGGTGTGAAGAGTGTTTCGATAATAAATGCATACGAATGAAACTTGTAACCGTGCACTCAGCTGAACAGGTGAAAATCAGTTATAATCTACGCTGTCTTCAACTCGGACAGACAAAAAGGTTTTCTTCCTCAATGATACAACCTGACCGGAACGTATAAGAAGTCGGCATGTCTCTAAGATGTCTGAAGTCTGTGTCCCCCAAGAAGAGTTGCGAAATTGAACATTCCATTCTTCCGCAATAAGGGTTCACTGTAACACGTGAAAGGTCGCACGAACAAAATATTGCGCAACCAAATTCTCACCACGAAAAAACGGAAGTACCGTTCAGTCACGCAAGGCAAACTCGATCGGTGCAATGTTTACATTTAAAAATCTAGACTGCCCAGTTTATTCAGACCAAAAGTTTTTGAAATGATAACTACATGAATGTTAAAAAACTATGGAAATGTTGGTCATTGTCACAGGACAGAAGATTCAGGTAAGTTTATGTACATTTGTAGATTCTTTAGTGTTCAGCCTGATCTGATCACGGTGCATATATAAAAATAATAAAACAAATAAATGTTAATTCGTTTTTCGGAAGCAGAATGAAGAAAAGGAGACCATCTATCAAACACACTGGCGGATGGAAAAGTTAACACAAAGTACAACTTGAACTCTCGCCAAAAATCTAGGTTCATATCATATTGAGATAATTTAAATGAATTGCACGTGAGTATCCTGTGTGTATATTTGTACAAGCGGACGCAACAATTCAAGTTGGTTGCGCAACGTCTGCTCTATTTTTAAATACGTATTATATTTTTCTTCACACTTCATGTACCGGCTATGGGTCAGTTACTCAAATGGGAGAATAAAAGATTAAATTCAAAGTCTCAGTTATCACGAGACATAACGACACGTACTCTGTAGTAGAAAAATGCATCGGTTGGTTCTTCTGTTTTGTTTGCTTGCGTTTTCGCTTGCGTTTTAAAAATAGACTCCCCATTTAAAATGTCTGTTTTAATTATAAAAATAGAGTCTAATATTAAATATTCAGTTCTTAAAGCGGAGGCTTGACGTGTCTGATGGTTTGGTTTGCAGAAAAAAGCGTAGGCTTAAATATTCTTCGCAGAGTTGAAGGATAGGAAAAAAAAAAACGAAAACGAAAACAGATGGAAGCTCGAGCATGAATTACAGTCATCAACCGCACAAATGCAAGAGGTAAATTAGCAACCTGTATTTTACATCTGAATTGTTCACTCGTGTGTGGCACATTCACTTTAATAATACAAAGATGTTGCCGGCATGTAACTTGCTAAACAATATAAATAAGTTTCTTTCCAATCGCAGAAACTAGTTGCTGCAGAACACAACAATTGCCCACCTCAAAAATTATACTCCCAAGAAAAGGTGGATTCCTTGAATTGTTTTCCGTACATTTGTTATTTAAAAAAATTCAAAATTCTTCTTCTACTGTATAAATTCCTTTTACTCTCTTGACCTACCGTATTTCCACGTATAATAGCCGGGGGCGATTATTTCTTTCTTCGCACAAAAAGGGGGCGATTATTCGAAGGAAGGCGATTATCTCAGATATCGCTCACTGCGCTCACTGTTACATTTTGTTTTACTTTCCCATTAAAATAAACACGTCAAATAAACTGAACATGGGGTTTTTTAGTGTTCCAAATTTAGTTCCTTCATTAATTTTCAGAGCGTGAATCGTCACTGATCAGTTTTTGCTGAATCTCATTGCACTTCAAATTGACAGGGAGAGGAAAGAGCAAGAGAAGATGGCGAGAGGAGCGGGGAGGGGCGATTGTTCGAGGGAGGCGATCATTTTAAGTATTTCCGTCAAAGGAAGGACCATTATTCGAGGGAGGCGATTAATCGAGGGACCGCTATTATTCGAGGAGATACCGTATACGGTTGATTGTTTAGAAACGTTAGAAGACGTCAGTACCGATGACTTTGAAGAGGGCAGTGGGGACGAAGACTCCATTTGGTGTGAGAGACAGAAAAAGGAAATAGTGATGATCTTTGTCAGGGCAACCGCAGTTGCGTATTTTCATAACGGGCATTCTTTCTGGCCGAAAATTAGTTGGTAAAAACAGCAAAAAAAGCTATTGACAATTGAAGAATGAAGAAAAAGGAATTTACAACAAACATAGGCCTTATGAGTGTGGAAATGATCCTCGCAGTTAAATGAGCAACCAAAGATAAACCAATTGGCCCGCCAGCGGCTTCAGAGACATCTACTATACAAAATTTGTCTGGTAATAACTGTAATGTATAATTTTCATTTTAACCCTTTTCATTATTATTAGCAACTCCCTTTCCCCAACCCACACTCATTTTTCTGCATAACAAACATTCAAAAAAACACCCACACACAAACAAAAAGTTCATGTTTTTAAGTGTGGAATTGGCAATTTGTGACATTCGCAAAATTTTTTGAGGGATCATTCAAACATTTTTAACCTTATTTCCCTACAGTGTGAATGCGGCCCGTTTATTAAAGGGGCGTGCGCTTTACCGACTCATTTCAGTAATAACAAGTGATGTTATTCCTTATAAGTCCCATTAATAGCGTGCTGTAGCGGCGCTTGCCAACTACTTACGCGCTCAGGGACGTCTACCAACATGTTCTCATAACACTGTCATTTCTCTGGTCTCTAGATGTCTTGGAACGCAGTTAAGGGTATTTATAAAATACTCGAGTGGACGGAAACCTTCAATACTCAAGATTGCTACACAATTACAAACTATTAATACCCCTGACCTATAGGTTTTTCCAAGCGGGCGTGACCAATACACAATTGGAAAACATGTACTTAAGACCTATCCCCGGAACTTCGCTGGAAGTTCTTCTTGCGCTTCTGTGAAACAATGAAGGAAATAGGTTCCGCCCAATCAAATTAAGAATTATAACCTTGGATTTTGCTACTGACGGGCAGCCTCAAGACTTAGCAATAGAATTACGCACAGTATTGTGACGCTTACGTGGTTTGGGCGGGTAACTATCAATATACTATGTGATGGGTAAGAGTTTCTTAAAACAGAATTACTGAACTGTGAGCACTTTTCCCTAAATGAAATTTCATTGCACGGTGGTTTTGATTTTTGGATCAATTAACACAGGAAATAAACTGAACTTCAAAATTCAAAAAGGGCAATCATTTTATCATAATTTCTAAAGTGGCTAGATCGAGCAAAAGAAGAATATTCCAACATGAAAATGTTTGCAAAAGGGCAAGGGTCAGAGCTCACTGTGATGGAAAAAACGGAAAAAATCAGAGTCTCCAGAAAATTCCAGTGATATTCAATGTTAAACAAGAACGAAACTGAATTTTCGTATGAACTAATGAAGTGCTCAGGAGACTAAATAGCTACGTAGTAGACAATTTCAGTGTATCAGAGTACCATTTTTGCATTCTAAGAGCAATGTGACACTAACAAAGGAAGCTAGTTTAATGGAATCAGACAAGGGAAAAAAAGAGGAGAGATAGAGATGATAATAGTCTCTCAGCGAATAGAGTCATGGGGGCTAGGCTCCTTTCTTGACTTCAAGACAAGAAACTACGATTGGGTACAGTTTGTGCCAGTTCTACACCCTTCCAGGGTCATGTACTCCTGGAACGTCATAAATTCTTCAGAGTCTAATAGAAGAGGAAGCCCAGAATGGTTTCCGAAATCTTTATGCGCTACCCCGCCTCTGATTCTCTTCTTTTCGTTTCTTCTCGTCCAACTTTACGTAATCCAGTCTTTCACTAGCAATAAGCATCAGTATATATTACTGATTAACCGAGTGTGAGGTCATTATAGGGAAATGTCAGACCTAGACCTTGAAATATCGACTGAGCGATAGCGAGGTCAATACATCAAGGCCGAGGTCTGAGATTTCCAGTGAAATATCATAGGTGACGAATTACTCCTTAATTTTGGCGTGAAATTTAAGCGTTTCACAAGTGAAATTACAAAATTGCCATGGCAACCTTCCGTACGTCTCAGTGTCAAGATGGCGACGAAGTTTTAAAATGTCATGAATGAAGATGTCAGGGCAAAAAAGACGCTTTACAAAACCTGAACACACGAAAGGGCACATCAAGAAGGATTCTAACAGGTATTTTGTCGAAAAACTCTGAACTTAAGCCAAATTTAAGCTCTAAACGTTCGAGAGAGTGCTAGCCTGCGTAGCAAGCGTTTCCAATCGAGTTATTGCGCGAAAGTTACAGCGGAAGCAAAAAAAGGTCCTTCGTTCCCCTCCGCCTCCCCCGTCATTAATTTTTTTTGCTCTTGTCCCAGCTTTCTAGACGAACCTCGCGAGGAAACGCTTGCTACGCAGGCTAAGAGAGTGCAGGAGTTCTCGATCGATACGATCCAGGATAAACATGTCAAAAATCCAAGATTGCTAACGTAATTCGTCACCCATGACATTAACAGGTAATCAGATGGTATACTCGTGAAATTAGGGAATAATTTCACTTGCGTTTTGTCCAAATCATGAGCCTGCGATCGATTAAAACCAAAAACTGGCCAGCGGATACCTTTAAAAAAACACGTCACCTAGAATGAGTTGTACATTTAAGTCCGCGATACAGTCAGGTGACACTGGTCATTGGATGTCCTTTTTGACAACTGTCAATTGACTAAAACATCGATATCCTTAAGGATGTCCATTATCAAGTTTTGTCAGGAGCCCATGGTTTTGTATATGCCTTGGACACTTGGTAATGCCCGGTCATTACAAGAAACACGGCCAATCAGAGTGCGTGTACTGTTGTAGTCATATAATAAAATATGATACATGTCCGTATTAAGCTGGTGTCCGTAAAGCAGGGTTCGACAGTAATTCGCCGGGGTAATTCGTTACGTTACGGAATACTACTAGATGGACTATCAAGCGCTCACATCGTGACTTGGGATTCCTGTGTTTGTATTTTAAAAATTGGGTTATCAAAACAACCATTTGTGGTTTGCTTAAAACATAGAGGGATGGATTGGCATTTTCCTTTAAGTGCTGTACTTTTAACTTACGTAAAAAAAACCTTGAACTTGGGATAATTCTTTTGATATTTAAATATTGCCTCATGAAGTGACCTTGTAGATACAAGTGTTTCTCACATAACCACCTCTGCGTGGGAGGTTATTTCAACTTTTGTTAAGACACGTTTTCTTTGTTTATGTTTGGACAACTTTAAGGAGGGCTTGTATACTTTAAGAAAAGTTAAGATGATTCCCTCTGACGCATGACCACCTTCCGCTTCTCTGTACAGTTACTGAACTTTCGCAACACAGGATGACCTTATAACCACATCTTCCTCGCCATGAGTGTTGGCATGCTCCTTCTCAAACTCATTAATAATTCATTAAGAAAATACAAAGGAAATTAATGTTTAATGAGTGTTTGGAAATCGGATGAAACACTGCTTAGTATTTGCATCCTTAATTTCTCCTTCAAAAATGATTTTGTTTGAGAAGAAATATCAAACATTCGACACAGTGTTTCATCACCAGATGAAACACTTCAAAGTTCGTCAAAAATACTCCGCTGCGCGTCGTATTTTCAACTCTCTTCTCGGTGTTTCATCTGGTGATGAAACACTGCATCTCATGTTTGATATATTACATCAAGGATTGATGTATTGTGCAATGTATTAAGAAGGACTAGGGATCCATATTCCCAGTCGCCCGGTCGTCCCAGACGACTACAATTCCGTACGGACGATTCGGACGAGTGAGGTTTTGCTCAACCACAAAATCTTTTCAAAAATTCTTGTATGATTTTATACATTTTCCATGTGTTTTGATTACTTCTCATCCACTTAAAACTTTTAGAATAATGGAGAATAACAAGCAGCTTTTGTCGGCAATGAAATCGTAAGTTTGGGCGCCATCTTTAATGGTGCAGTATTTTCTACGAAACGATCGCATTCAGAAGCTATTCGTAGAAAACGTGACCACACTCATCAAGATGTGGCGTTTTTTAGAAGGTGTTTCGTCGCCTTCGGCGGTTAAAAAAGGTGAAGCAGAAGCCGGTACCTTATACGCATCAAGATATGACGTTTTACAGAAGACGTTTCGCTGCCTTAACGGAAAAAAGGCGACGCAGGAGCCGCTACCTTATACGGAGGAAAACGTAAGCGCGCAGTACGTCTTGCCTTCATGACAAACTGACCGACCGTGGCTACTTGTAAAACGTAAATAAACTGTGTTAGCCCATGCCTACAGCCTATTGTACTTATAACAGTTTAGTTAAAAACCTTTTCATAGTAACTATAACGGAAATAAAACAGAAAAGTTCAGTTTGAACTTTTGTCTGTAAACGGGCAAGTATGTCATCAGGCCTACTTGCCCAGCTGACAACTATGAGAAAAAAAGAATATGGACCCCTGAGAATCGGTATAGAAGTAAGATCCCTAGAAGTTAAGGCGTAGACAGATATTAGGGTTTAAACTCTGTCTCCCGTGTCCGGGTTTTAAGAGAAGCTTGCAATACCATGAATAGTTTCATCCTCTTTGCCTCTAAATTACAACTTAGTTAAGTGACTTTTGTGTCCTTCTGTTCCTTGTCGATCCGACTGCGAGCAAAATTTTGGCTCGGATATAAACGTAGGTGCATTCAATAGTGAGTCCTTGTTTTTCACGGTTAAAGACAATAAATTCAGCGTAGGAAGTGTAGCTGGAAGGATTTATCGCGCGCGATTGCTTATTTCAGCAAGTGTATTTATGGGTTTTGATTGAGACTCTAAAGCATGGAGAAAATGCGGACGAGTCAATTTGAGATTCCGCCTGCTGTTCTCCTTGGCGTTTAGAATAGCCCGAACACCACTTGTGCGGGAGAGTTTCAGATTGGCTGAGAGCGAATAACAAATCAGTTAAAAATTAATCTATATCTGTCGTTTCTCCAAGCGATGAGTTTGTAAATATCTACTGTTATGTGCGGGGTTTTGCAAAATAGCGCTTCCGAAGGAAAACTTGGCAAATGGCAGGTGAGTGTCAACAGAGACAAAGAGGAAATTGTTCTGAAGGCAGAGAGAGAACTGGCTGTCAAAGCGATGGAGCTGAAGCCGACAGCAGAGTGTCATTTAAAAAAATGCAAATAAATACCTGTAAACTAACCGATGACGTAAAACAAAGAAAACAAAAAAGGCGAAACCAAAGAAAAAGTTCACGGTCTTTACAGCGGGGCAAACCACCGCGGTAAACCCCAATATGATCACTTACTCAAATCTAAAAGCTCTGCTTCGCCCTTAACAGAGAAACTAAGTCATGCAAAGAAAAAAATCATTTTAAGGGAAAGCACCAATCTCGCATTAAGTAAATGAAAAATCCTTGAAAGATTTGCTAGTTCAGTTTGAGTTCAGATAAAAGGTTTTCACTGAAAAATTTTGCACTAGTCAAGATCGTGCGCGTTGTCATCACTTGCACTTTCGTGTTACAGTTCTCTCTTATTGGCTCATCTGTTTTTGTCGATAAGAGTGACAAAAGTTAGTGACTTTCAAGAGGAAGTGAGGCAGTATGGGTTGCCGGTTCTTCTTCGTCAACTTCGAATTGATAAGGAAATGACTAACGACTTAACGACTTAAGGTCAACGCCCAATGACTCGATCATCTGAACTGAAATTCCTAAAAGAGAGAAATTTCTTCAGCTCTGAAGCTGAATCTCTATTTAAACCAAACATCCTCTTCTCTAGCTAACAGCCCCTTGGATCAAGGGAATCTGTTTACGATAGCAATCAATCTCCACCTCCTGGCCACCAACCCATCATAACTTCCACAAAACTCACAAACATTTCACACACAGCAAATTTGAGTCCTCTGATATCCAGACCTAACTGGGTAACTTCAATATATTATTTGAAAGCCCTGGCCCAGACAAAATGCCATGAGTGACTCTTCAAGGAAGTTGCTCCAATCCATTGACAGCTTTATTCAACAAATCGCTGAGCGAAGGAAACTTAATTATTATAGAAATTCGTAACCGTCTAAGGCCCGTTTCAAACGTCATGCTACTGCGGTGCCGAACTCAATTGATCGAATTAAATTCGACTTTAGCCCGGCAGTAGCGCGACGTTTGAAACCAAGTCGTGCTACTGCCGTGTAGCACGGCAAGCCTTGCCATGCTACACGGTACTGAGTACAGTGTAGCTCGACTTGGTTTCAAACGTCGTGCTACTGCCGTGCCGACTCAATTCATAAATTATAAATTCATTAGAATAACTAAGAATTTTAATTCTTAGTTCAGGCTTAATCTTTTTCTTCTCTATTGCTTGTCGTACAAATCATTAATTGCTGCAAATCCATTAAATTAAGGTACAGCAAACTGATGTCTCAATCAAGTCACTAGGCCTTACCATCACATTTTGAAAATCCTGTTAGTGGTCGCGCAGGGGTTTCATCCCACGAACTTCCCGAGCCAAACAGATGTTCATCCAGCTGAGCTAACCAGGCAGCGATATACAACTCAATAAAATCACAACAGCTGTAAAATAAAATGAAAGAAAGGAAGAGATAAACAAGCAAGATCATCCAGCTCTGTCAAGAAATCATAGTCGTCATTGGAAGGTTGAATTGGTCCAGTCGAACCCCGCTTTAAGGACACCCGCTTAACGCAGACACCTTGTTATTACGGACAGTTTTCCTTGTCCCTTGGGAAAGAAAGCCCTTACATCTTCTCTACCTTCGACCCACTTAAAGGAGCTGTGTCACGAAATTCAGCCAAATTAGGAAATTATATAACGTCCGTTAAATTAACAGAAACATAAAAATAACCGCTTAAAACTTTAAAGCAAGGTTAAAATAACATAACAGAAACAAAAGATGACACGGATGGGCAAAACTCAAGAAGATTGAAACGGATTGAAAGTAGGTTTTTTGAAAACTGTTCAAAGTTGATCCCTACTGCTTGCAACTTCAAAAATAATGTTCAGGACACATATTTGTTTGTCTCGGATCTCTGATTTTGTCATTTACATATAATTTCTTTGCTTACTTTAAGTTCCATCGCGATTGAGGGCGAGTAATTGGCAAATTAAACAAAATGAACTGGACTGCCGTGACACAGCTCCTTTAACACGGACACCCCTTGATACGGACACTTTCACGATGGCCTCCTGAGTGTCCGTATTAACGAGGTTTGACTGTATTTATGATGGACATCATGTCTCCTGGCCCTAATCCTCAACAAAACACTAACAATTAAGTCAAACATGACATCATATGGAAATTATAAATAATTCTAGGCAATGAAGATAATTATTTGAATGTTAATTATTTAATAGAATATTTTATGAAGTTAACCTGATATGTTGTATATACCTCCCGTTGTAATTTTAGTCTTTTTCAAATAACAAAATCCCCTGTACTTGAATTTATATGTAAGGTGTTTCTTTCTGTATGTTATTGTATTTCTTTTCTTTTTTTTTATGTAATTCAATAACGTCTTTATTCAAAGACTTGTCCTGCCTAGATTAGCATTATAGCTGTTTGCAGGACATAAAGTATTGTAAACTTTATGTTTTTTTTTAATAAATACATTGTTGTTGTTGTTATTATGTGTAATTAACAATTATTCCTCGAGCCCGAATGGGCTCTGAGTCAATAGCCCATGAGGCCGAGGCCAAATGGACTATTGACTCAGAGCCCATGAGGGCGAGAGGAATAATTGTACTTCGTAAAATCCAACTAGTTGGTCAAAAATATCGAGACAAAACAACTTAAAGCAAAAATTTAATCCTTTTTTACCGCCAAAAATCCGGCGCTTTTCGCTACTAGTGGGCTATAACATATAGCCTAGTAGTAGCTCAACCAATCAGAACACATCATTTATAATAGACCACAGTTGGATTTCACTAATATGAAGTATCTCAGGACCGAGTTATGTATATTTTTGAACAATCTTAGGACTTGAATGGTTAAAGACGATTCCTTTTGAAATCGCTCTTACTGCACTGTTAGCACCCGTTCCCTTTTAGTACACAGAGGGTTTTTGTCGCCAGTTAAAACGCTATGAATATGTGAGAAGACCCTTCTAGTTAAGCACGCAGGAAATGATGTTGAAAACAACAACAGCAACAACAGTAATAATGATCATGATGACGACGACAGGCCCAAGTTATGGAATGCTCTACCGCGCGAGCTTCGCGACATTCCGTACTTACATAATTTTAAAAGCCATCTTAAGACGCACCTTTTTAAGTTTGCTCACAGTTAAATGAATTTTAATCAGTTAAAGATCGATATTTCAGACTTTTTTTTGTAGTAGTGTATATATTCTTATTGTCTTTCATATTGTAAATAGGATTTCTTTTTCTATGCTTTTATTACCATTGTAATGCACATTTGATCATTTTCATGAATACTTGAATGTGCAATACAGTATAAGTGATTAAATTATAATTTATTATTATTTTTGATAATGATGTTGATGATGATGATGACGACGACGACGACGATGATGATAATGTAACTATCTCCTAAATAAGGTTGTCGCCATGTAACAACTGTGACCATCACCTATGCTTTCGCATTAACGAACCTGTCTGAATTTTTCTAACGCACAAGTTCACTGTCCCTTTTCATTATCTCATACATGCTTTTCATATCGTATGAAAGCTACACATTCTATGGGTGAATATTAAAGTTCCTACTCACGACTATCTTTTGCTTTTAAGCAAGTGTACTTGCGCAACAGGGCAGGGTTGTCCAAAGCTGGGTTAAGATAATCCAGCGTAAGTGCGAAATTTGAATTCAGATATGAAAGCTTGAAAAGAACAGTCAGTTTAATTCATTTTGCATATAATTTGTTAATTGAATGCTCTAAAAATAATTGAGAAAATTATCCCGGGAAATGCTTCTGGACAAAACAAAAAGAAACCCGCATTAAAATTTAACCCTGGGTTACCGCTAATCGTCCTTCGAAAAACTGGGTCCAGGACAGCAAGTCAGTGAGATTTAGGCATTTTTTCATGAGCTGTCATCTCTGTAGTTGAACTACAAATAACGACAAAATCATGGCTTTTGCAGTCAGTGTCGAACAGAGGTCACATATCGAGCACAAAAATTTGTCGTCCCGGTAGTTTACACGGAAAGGGTGTCTTTCCAAGAATACTTTCATCCTTTTCTCTCGCGCCGGTCACAACTTAAGTGGCGTTTCAATTTTGCCCTTCCAGCTTGCCCTCGTGATTTTTTACTTGCGATAGACGTCTGACAAACTTGTCGAATTAAGTGGTCTTGAATGGTAAATTTTTTGCGATGTTCGAAGAAACAATGGCCACAAGCCCAGGAAAAATCCTCTTCAGCGGACCAGTTTCCATTTACTTTCCAGCGATGAGGGCCACAGGGCTTAGATTGAGTACGGATCAACAAGGCAAGGAGCTTGGGCTCCTCAACAGCACGGTGAACCCTTCAATCACAACCGTAAAATGTTTCCACCTACCACAAACACAATTTCAACCGTGAAATTTATTTCAAAAATATCGAGGGTAGTTAAAGAAGGTGGCTTGCCTTTAAAACCCCATTTACACGCGCTAAAAAAATCGGCACGGCACGCCACGCCAAATTTTGGCACCGTGCCTCGTTTACCCGTGCCGAGACTACCTCCGGGAGGTAGTCCAATATTTTACTAGTCTCAATGCAGGAAGGTATTGACCTCAAACCCAGCATAGTTACCTTTAGAGCATGTTGTTCTATACCCTTGATTTTCAGGGGAAATTGTTAATCACAAATATTTTGGCATATGTTTTTGACCATGAGTCTGAATGCACTGAAGTCCTGACTAACCTTTTTGAAATGAATATTCACTGCTTGGAAGAACCTTATGTTCTGTACAGTATTCATTCAGCAACTACGAAGCCATCCGACGCCTTTACCTTGTGAAACAGTCGTTATACCGTACAGGAGCCAGCGACTGACCCTAAGGAAGAAATCCTTTATATCATTTCCTGTAAAGCACTTGATTAACTTTCAACTATATTGTCACCTGACTTTTCGATTTCTAACAAATTTGACGTTTTTTTCATTATTTTAAAGTTTTGATATTTCTTGCTTAGTGCTTTACCTAGAGCCCTGTATAAAGCGCCATATAACTAATAAATTAGTATCAGTATTAGAAAAAGAAGGCGAAGACAACGGAATAGAAAAGGCCTTTTCGTTGTTCCCGTTGTTGTAGCCGTCGGCTCCATGCTCGTTTTTTCTTCTTCTCATAATTACAAAGCACCTTATTTCAACGCCTTTACTTTGTGTTTAAAGCAAAAAATAATCAGATACTTATATCATCGCTCCCTTTCTGCCATTCATAAATTGGACAGGTGGAAAGCATTTCGACATAGAAAACAGACATGAAAGGTAGATAAAGTGTTTAAAAAAACTTATTTACCTGTTGTACAAAAACAGGAAAGCGTGCACTAAAATACATAAAGACATTTACTTAACCAGAACAGTTGAAAAACCTTCTGGTAATATTACCTAACCAGTCTCTCTGGTTTGAGACTGTCATTTACGCTTCCAAATTAATTGAAATGTTTAATCAATAGACCTCTCTCTGTACGTTTTGTTTTCCCAATACAGGTCATGTGATAATACTCTGGAGAACTGTTTCTTTCAAATTTCGACGTATTCACGAGCATATAATCTACGCATAATTTATAAAAAGTCAAAGGGTCAAGTTTCCCTACGACCTCTGTTGGGAAAACAAAAGCTACAAGCTAGAGAGGTCAAAAACGGCTTTCAGAAACATTCGCATTTACTTTCAACGCTTTCAGCCTAAAAAACAACTCACTTTATCTACCAGGAACATAAAAAACTGTCTCTTCACCATAGTACCTGGCAACTCTGATCCACTCACTGTCTCTCAGGCAATATTGTGTTTGCACGAGATCACAGTGACACCCAGACCCAGAGAAACTTTGTCAAAAGGTGGTGCTGGTAATCATCCTCCCAAATCCGATGAAGAAATAGTGTCGTTTAATAAGATTTTTAGACGAAGATCAGTTCTGTTTATAGAAAATACTTGTTACCCACAGAAGATCTAGATACATAGATAATGCTCTTCTGCTCTTTGGCTCTTATTCTGTAACAAATGCCTGTCTAATTAACAGGACAATTTGGATAAAGAAAAAATATATCGTGTCACCTTGGACCAGTTCGTTGAAAATGAGCAATGCATGTTGTCGAGAATTCAATTCAATTCAATTCAATTCTCTTGAACTTTGACATATGCAGTAACTATGGCCTCATACAGCTAGGTCATCATTGAAAAATTATCCCAAGCTGAGTTTAATTAATCTTACAAAGTGTCACAACCGTGTGCAAGCAAAGCATCCAATGCACTCTTTCGTGTCAAATTCAGTCCTCTAACCTACTAGGAACTTTACATGACATTTACAAAGGTATGGAGACCTCAACACAGTGCCGGAGTCTGTGAATCCTCGGCTTTGCACACACACATTTTTGACATCTCGAATAGATTACATACCTCCTTTCCTTTCCGTTTTGCTGTTTGCTTTGGTAGTAACCCTAAATGGTCTTGAGGTTACAGATCCAGCTAAGCCTGATATAAAATCCACATAGATTATCAGTTGCCAGTTATTTCTTTGCAAGAAATCTGCCTTTACAAGCCAGTACACTGAATCTCCGTTTGCAATTTTGTAAACTGAACCAAGATCTATGGTCATAAATCGGACTCTTGGTTCACTTCTATGAACATCCACTCCAAGTTCAACAGGAACTACAGGCAACAAAGCTTACATTTAAGTTTTACACATGACAAAGAGCTTTTCTGCCTATGACTAAGTAAGAAGTCAAAAGTACGTACTTCATTCAAAATAAATTTTCAAAGGCAAACAGTTTAAATGTACTTGTAGGATTGGGACTACATCTATAGCCCAGTGCTATGGTGTCCAATGTTGTAATTCGATGTACCTGCACATGTACTTCACACACAATCAAGCAAACGTTCAACGACCAACCTGTAATGTCGTTTGTCTGAATCGCAGCGTGAGGACACATTTGAGTATAAGCTCGAACTCTGATGATTGTATCCGAAGCTTGCACCACAACGGTAACTTCTGCCTCATCCAAGCAATATTCTAACCCTAGGTGGGTTTTCTTGGTCTTTTTGTCATATTCATCTTTAAGATTTATTATGTGGACGACTAATTCAACCTAAGAGACCTTTTTGCCGGCAAAAGGCGAGTCGTAAGGCTTCCTCCAATGTGCTCTATATCTGAAACTAATTATAGTTTATTACGAAAGTCACTCGTTTCTAATTAATTCCTGAGCATTCGGAAATCTTAACACTGCAACAAATGTATATTTTTTGGACTTAAAAATCGTTGAACCACCTAAACATTATCAGAGAAATAAAGCAGAAAAGCAATATTGCGTAACATTTTTCGAAAGCACCCATATGTATAGTGGTCCTCTGTCTACTATTTACTTTACGTTGGCTGATAATGCCATAAGCTTTTTAGCAGGTGGCTTTTGTTAAAGTAGAAAAACGTTCCACCTACTATATTTTACTTTCGAATTTTGTTCCTCTTGATTTTTAGGAAAGATATATCTATGTTATAGCGATTTCCAGTGCAAAATCTATCACCTACTTGATACAAAGACAACTACTTAGGGGATGAAGAAATTTCTCAAGTCTCCTTGGATCTAACCTGTTCTATTTCCAGTTAATTCATTTGGCAGTTCCCCACTAGTTGGAAAAAACCCTCTCAACTCAGTGATATATGACTCAGAAAGTGGTGGCTCTCCAGCACTTGAAGAATCGGCGAATCCTACGGTAGACTGAATAAGCTCATCGATGTCGTTGAGTCTTTCTTCCAAGTGGGGGTCGATCAGCCATCTGCTTGGTGTGGGGTAAACGTCACCTTCAGCTTCGTATTTGGATGTTTCAAGTGAGGTTTCATCCATTAAATGGGTGTTTCTCTTCCGCATTATTAAATATCATCACTGAATAAGTATCACCAGACTAGTTCGGCTTTAAGTCTCTTTCCATCATCATCGCATCTCAAGGTACCGTGAAATCCGGCCCACGTGATTGTCACGTTCGGGCGACTTAAGGACTGGCGACTGACATCTACTGATCGTTTTGTAGTGTAGATGAATTGGAGAAGCCTGAAATAATGTCAAGTCACGGATAAAATACCAGAATAGAACGCTGCTCTTTAAGAGTTTGGTGTCCGACGATTACATGCAGACACTCACTTTCGTTACAACCACATTTCGAGCATTGTGTTCCCCGGGGAGGGGGGGTACTTCCTTATAAGAAACTAATGGGGATGTGACGCTGGATGGGGTCGCATTTTCACGACTGGACTGACTATAATGGGGTCGCATTTTCAATAGAGTTACTAGAGTGGGGTCGTACATTTTCGAATTTTTGGGTAGGACAGTTCTTCATATTTACGGTTAGCAAACGTACCAGAATGTTTGTACTGTCGGTGAAAAGTGAAGTGTTCTTCATTCAGTATAGTGTAGATACATGAATAGAAAGTGACTTTGAATCGCGAAAATTACATATTTCCCCAAAAGTGACTAAGGTGGGGTCTATAATTGGCCACAGAACAGACTACAATGGGGTAAGGGCTCTGAGAGGCCAGCGGCACATACCTAGCAAAATTAACCCAAGTACCCCCTCCCCCCCCGGAAATGTTCCAGGCGAGGTCCACGTAAAATTGCACGCTCCTCCCATTATGTCAACGCCCGGAAGAAGGATAACTTTGTTGGCAACTGATAGAAAATGAACACTGGTCTACATATTACATAATCGTTTGCTTCTTACCCCAAAGCGCTCCAAATAAGCGAAATTTTTTCAGAGAGCATCAGTTACTCCCGGATTGCGTGGGAAGGTGAGACAGTTGTTACGTGAGGTCACCCACTACGTCCGCCTTTACCCATAATATGGCGTACGTGATACCAGGTGATACCAGCCGGCCTTGGACTGATTTCAGAGCAATTAAAATGTAGGGCTTTTAAGGTTAACGTTGAGCAATGGACCTTAGGCGTCCAGGCCGTGCCGTTTGTGCATTTTGCCAACGTGAACATTTATTCTGATAGTACTGTGAATAATGGGGATCATTTGCGGTCCATTTTGGAGATTATTTGTGGTCTGGAGATCATTTGCGGTACTGTACAGTTGTTCTACAATCGAACCAATCATAGTTATTAGAGGAGACTGGTTATGAAAAGCGGCAAACATCAATGATAAAAACAACAGTGCTGCAGTTTATGTTGGAAGCACCCTGAAAGTGCACAATCCTTTGTTTTCTGTTGGCAAATTGTTTCGTTTTTATTGGTCAATACAATCAAAATGATAGGAATTCTTTTGAACGTTGTGCACTTTCAGGTCCACAAAAACATATAACAAAGGAGTCTGACGGGTTTCATAACCATTCCACTCAATTAACTATGAACCAATATACCCGAACGCAATTGGATTCGCGCGACAATCGAAAAAAAAAACAACGGTTTTGTTATTAGTTCGGCCCTCAAGCATGAATTTGTTAGCACGTAATATAAATCTTCAAGTAAGATACAAGGTTTCAAAAGATTTGGCATCGCGTTTTGTGATGATACTTCAAACCGCAGTATAAAATTTAGACGTTGCGGTTAAAGGCTGCACGCCGATTTAACCACAGGTAGCCCAAGCTCGAAATATGAGCATCGGCGAGCATCGGCATTGTTGCGTAACATTCAAAATATAAGGATTTGTATGGGGAAAAAAACCTATATTTTCTGTAACCTACGAAAATGGGTTATGGGTTTTTATGTAAACGGTTTTCTCTATACATAAACCTTTATATAGAGAGAAAACCGTTTACATAAAAACCCGTAAAACATAAAACGGCCATAAATCGGCCCGTGGACCACACAGGAGAGATGTAAACACACATTTTAAGAAAGGTAAGCTGTTCTTTATTGAAATCGTTTCATTTTCGTAGGTTACAAAAACGATAGGTTTTTTTTTTCCCATACAAATCCTTGTATTTTGAATGTTACGCAACAATGCCGATGCTCACCGATGCTCATATTTCGAGCTTGGGCTACCTGTGATTTAACATTTCGCTGCTGCATTCAAGCCGGGCATTCAAGAAACAATTGCACGTGACGTTTGACTTTTCATTCATTCTACAAGCTTCAATTCAATCCAACATAGAAACCGTGTTAATAAAATAGCCTTAAAACTGAGGTCTTAACATTTTTTTTTCTTCACGCGCACGTTAAAATGCAAACGTGACGGCATTAGGTCAAGGACTTGACATCTTGAGGTATGCGATTTGCGATTTCTCGTTCAAATGTCTCTTATAAAAGCAAGGCTCGAGCATATTGAAACACCGAACCTATCCGGCGCCAGTGCTTGTAGTGTAGAGTTCTTTAAAGCGCATTAACTCGGTTAATTTATTACACGCAGAAGACCAATAACTAAAATCAACCAGTCATATTTCGCCATTGGCGATCCAACATTTCCTAAGTATTGGTATTATCCCGAACAAGAGGCTCTAAGTAGCCTATCCTCATGCACATCCTCGAAATTCCTTTACCACCAGCGAAATAAACAGAATGCAGACCAATGCATGCTAACCACTAGCCTGTAATATTGGAAACTATTCCCCATTTTCTCTTCCTTGCACTCCTTACTGACAATCTGACAGTAGTTCTAAGAACAGCTCAGATTCCTAAAAGTCGTTTCAGTTTTCAAAGTAACTTGAAGGTTCTCAAAGATCACTAGGAGGTGACCCCTAAACGAGACCTTGGCGGCTTAAAATATTGGCGCTTTGCCCGGAACACCCTAAGCGAGACCAAAATCCAAAATTTACACCCCTAAGCGAGACGACGAGCATCCCCGTCTTTTTCATATGGGAGTCCCCCTTCCCCCCCCCCTTATGGGGGTCCCCCCTCCCCCCCCCCCCCCCGGGGAGATGACGGGCTTCTTGATCGAGATCAGTTTGCCTGACCTTTGTGTCGATTCGATCGTGCAATGTGTTTGTCTACCCTTTGTGTCGATCGCCCTCTCGTGCAATGTGTTTGTTTGTAAAACAAATTGGATTTAACATATTTATGTCTTTTATGTCTACAACTGACCTTTGGCTCCACAATTGAAAGATATTTCTTCTGATAGCAACCGCGACGTTTCGACCGATCAAACGACACGTGCAGTCAAGAAGCGATGGTTAGGGGGCAACTATGCACATCTTAAGGGGCTTGAAACATGGGACGGATGACTGATTTCTTCAAACACGCACTGTTTTTGTTTTCATACAAAATAGACTGATATTCCATGCATATATACATTTTAAGACTCTAATACTTCTTTTCAAATCTTTCCACGAAATTTTCTGACACAAAAATACACTTTGCAGCAGCTATAAATTTTTTAAATAATCCCCTACCCACCACCCCACGTAAACTAACTGTCATGTGTGTAAATGTATGCAAGCATAAATTTACATGCACTAATGCAGGCGAACAAGGACGCTATCTTCGTTTCCAGGAGGGAGCGTTGCGTGATGACACAAAGAACGGCTGTGTAGCAGACTACGATCCTCATGGCGAACGGTTAATGTCATCCCAGGTAAAACAGACTTTGCGACGCTGTACATTTCGGATTACAGATACTGGATTCCGGATTCCTTGAGTTCAATTCTAAAGTCCAGGATTCCGGTTTCACAAGCAAATTTCCGGAATCCGCATTATAATACTTGGGGCGAATAAAGAAAATCCAAGATAAAATCCATCATCGGTCTCCTTCTGTACAGTGAGACGACGGAATAACGCTTCATTGTAAAACAACGTCTCTGGTGACCTGTGGTGCAACTGAATGGCAATCTCTCTTACAGGTGACACAGATAAAAACAGTCTTCATGAGGTGCAAAATTGCTGACCAAGTCGTGGTAATGCCCAAGATTTTCCGACGGCATCTTATATGGTAGACATTTAGCTTTGACTCTTTTCTGTGTACAGAGATGTGTTTTTTAGTACATAGACGTCGGTAAACTGCAAGTTGGTATCAAACGTTAGGTGTTTGTGTTCCCAGACTCACTTAATGAGCTATGACATGACGTAAACAGATTTACCGATTCAGGCATTGACGTCCTCATCCAGAGATAAGTTAGTTATGATGAGAGAGACCATGCATTTGAAGATGCTAATAACTGGCCGGGGAGGGGGCAACCCTTTGTATTTCTTCAATATTCGTATTTCCTGGCTCTGGGGCGACACCCTTCTAAGCATGAATGCTAGGCTTATATGGGGAAGCTTCCCGGCGAAAACACAAACAGTCCGGTACACAAAAACTGCAATGCGGTTGCAGGAAACCATAAAAGCGTTTAACTTTGGAAGGTTCTATAGAGCTCAAAAACTTGCTTACAGGCCTGACCGATATTTATTTTAAACAACAAAGAAGACCGACTTGTCGTTACTTAAAAACAACGAACCTCTGAAAGAGTTTTCATTCATCAAGTTTGAAAATGTGTGAAGTTGGTCTGAACATACAGCGTGTAGCGGTAAGCCCTTTTTATATGGTTTCAAATTCGAAATTCAAGGTTTCTTTACTTCCACATAACAAAAAATTGATTGATTGATTGATTGATTGATTGATTGATGATTGATTAGTTAATTTTGACTAAATGTTAAAACTTTTCGAACGATACTGCGTTCGTCAAAATGGACACGCATGTCGAAACCTGTGAAGTAGAGTAAAATCACCAACTTCGAAGTCCACATAATTTAATCAAATTACAGCAAAAAAATCTTATAAAGCTGTTTTAAGATTTTCTTTGTTGCCGGCAGCATCGGGTCTACGAGCCAAAGTCACCAAGTCATATGGCTGCAACAAGCATTTGGAGTGATTTTTACAGTAAGCGTCGAAATTATAGCTTCATACGATTAAGGAAAGTGGTATTTTTATGCTCAAAGGCCATTAATTTTCGTCTGCCATTCAAACGCCATGTTCCTGTGGCCTGGTTACCAAGAATAAACGACAAAAACTTAATGACGTTATTTTCTCAAGCCATATAATCCATCATGGCTAAATAATTCCTGGTACCCCGCTCAAACAATCGGTTTCTCTCCCACTTCGATGCGTTCCTGTTCGGGAAAACTCTTTTCATCTTTCTATGGGCTCTGTAGGCGTGCAACAAGCGCTACAATCGAACGAATTGTGCTGCATGCAAGTTTGACCGACTGAACGAGAGATTGAGCTGACGTATACGTACGTATTTTCAAAGAAAAAACGTGATATTTGCAGCTTAGCTTTTCAAGGGTGGTAAATAATAGCTTAATAGACTTCCTATTCCTCATGGTGAAGAGAGAAGTTTCACTTTCGAAATGTTCACCTCTGAATCAGCTCGCCCTTTCGACATTTGGAACTGAGAGGCCTTGAACATGTTCAAGTGCACTTGAAGGAAATTAAAGTGATGCTTATTTAAAAGGCCTTCCAACATCTGCTTGCTGTTTTAAAACATCTTTTCCCGTTTCCGAGATATTCAAGTTTTGAGTTATGCAAGAGAAGTGATAACATCATCAACGCTTGCCGATTAGGGGAATGCCAAGGAGATCTAGAAGTAAAACTGTTGCTATAGTAACTTCACAGTAGGCGTCGTTTTGTGTCTTTCGTAAAGTACATTACTGGTTCTGAGTTTTAATGGAATCATTTCATGAATTTCAGACATCAATTGTTGATCTCATAAAGGAAGCTTTATAAGGCTCTTTTTTACTTTCAGAGCCTTTAGACTAAAAGAAGTTTAAAGCAATAATAGCGTGAGAGGCCAAAAAAAATACATAGATAGAACGGGCCGAGCCCTGGGTACCGGAAATCCAAAGCGAAACATAAGCGATAAGGGAAGCTAAGGGAAACTTTTTCTGGGAAAATATAAAAACTAGCAGGGATAATCGAAAGTAAAGGGCACAACAACGGGCTTTCCTTAAGAACACGTCACAAGACCAATTGTTTTTCACTTTCAACAAAAGGCTAAAGAACTAAAGATAGACGACGCAGTTTGAAACCAAAACTGAAACGTTTGGCCAGTTTCACAAGCCAAAGCTTCCGACAGACCACAGGTCTTCAAAACAGCAGAAGAACGCCTTATCCCTACGGACGGTCGGGTTGTTGCAAGCAATGGCCTGCAGGTCTGGGTATACTAATCTGGAACAACACTTGCAAGATATAGAGGAAGTACTTGGGGAGGAACTCGGTATGGAGATAATTGTAACGCGTTTTAATTTATATTTGAACCAGAAGTCAAAGGAGAGAAATTTACTACAATTTGGCAAAGTACTTCAATGCTATTTAGAGTTGCCATCTTAACTACATGGAAAGTGTAATATTTTACCTGTAATTATATGTTGTTTGTAAAATTGACTGAAATAAGTACTATATAGAATTTGAAAACATCAACTGTTGATTTAACAACGCCAGTTATCAAAATAGTTTTCTTCGGACGTAAAGGATTTCAACGACGAGAAAATTCGCGATTCTAAGAAAAACAACTGAAACATATTTGTGTTAACCATCTATCTGAGTCATCCCTACCGGTGTTTCCACGCAATTATTACTAAATGAATCTACATTTACTACTGCTTGTACTGTTAGAGAGTTCCTTTAGGATAGCGGCATCCTAAAGTCGATCCTAAAGGCAAGTCAATTTATTGAAGCTTAATCTGTATACCTCAATACTTCAGCTCCAAAGGAATCTCAGACTTCCACAACCACAATTCACAAACTTTTCTAATTTTTGTTCAATTCATTGTTTTATTTTCGCTGTGTGTTTCATCGAAAACGCTTTTAAGATCATTACATGGATCATTGAAAGTAAACATGCAGCACTATGGGGAAATCTGAAAGCTGTTCAGTCAAAATACTCACGACAAGTCTTCTAGTCATCAAGTCTCGCGCGAAAAAAACTCGATCATTGTTTTAAACATTAAAAAATACTTATAGCTTAATTTTGTTATTGGATGATAAATTTTTGAAACTCGTGTGAAAAACTAAGAATTCACCTGACAGGGAAACCCTGTATCATAATGTAAAAATAATCCTATCAAAAGTCTCGATATTTTGTCGTTAAAAGTCCCAAGGAGCCGTGGAGTAATGTTTGAGGTTGATTTCAGTTAACTTCTCCTTGTGGCTGTACAAATAAACGTGCCGATCGTAGTGTCATGATGGCACCTAGCTGGTGATTAGTTCACGAGGAAAGTTTCCTTCTTCACCAAGTGAATTCATTCTAAAGATCGCGTGATCCAGCGTTTTGTTTCACGTAGCTAAAAAGTACTGACGCTCATCAAAGCAAGTACATTGTTGTGTAGCAAAATAATATAAACCTTGGCACTTCGCTGTCTCGTTCGGAAAGCAACGTCAACCTTTGTAATACTTTCTACATCGACGGCATGATGACGAAACAAATAGCTACATGGGAACACTGTCTTTTGTTTAAGACAACTTTGCTTCGTTGTAAATCTTTAGGAAGACGACACGTCAATTAAGTCCCTCTCAGAGAAGAAACAGAAAGGATTACCGCAATTCAGGTTTTTTAGGTCATACAGTGTGCATTGACATTAGGCAATTGAAAGATTTAGACAGAGAAGGCCAGGAAATGTAACAGAGGCCTGGAACACTCCATATCGTGATTTTTTGTTTGTTTGCTTTTATAGTTGACCGAAGCTTTTACTAATAGGCTGCACAGTAGGGAAGGAGGAACCTATCTGGGATCTTAATTCTTACTAGATTAACTAAAGTAAGTGCTTAAATGACGGCTGCAATGTTGGGTGATCTGCGACAGCCATTTGTACAGTGAAATCACCTCACCTAAGAGCGAGACAGGGCTGCACGCTCTTCACAAAGGCTCTAGCAAGGCAACACGAGAGAACACATACACGAAGCATGGCGCATGTCCTACTTTCTGAGGTAAAATCATCACACAGATCGCGCCTTCGTCCGGAGCAAACACTCCGACCTTCAAACAAATATAGAGGACAAGATGAAGGGAAACGTAAGAAAGTCGACCCAGTTTTAAAGCGGGGAATGTATAGCCACGGGACGTAATGAAACAGATTGGAACCAACCGAACACCACTCCTCTTGCACACACTATTATTAGCCCTTATTAGAAAACCCTTTGCTACAGAGTTGAAAGTCAAAAAGAGACAATGTTAGTTCTAGAAGAACGTTTCAGTTACATTGCACTTGGTTTACTGTATTTCTTGTTGGAATTTTTTCGGTGGTCAGTGCAATGAATGCAGACAAGCTTAAAAGTGCCAGTTTGCGTGACAAATTTACCCAGCTAACCTATCGCCCCTACACCGGAAGACATGGATAGTTCTAAGAAATACCCCTGAAATGATTATTGTTGATAATTCAATCAAGAGGTGGTACTGTAAGGGACTTTCCCCAAACAATACGTCACAAGACTAAGGATACTTTTCCTTTCAATTTCTGTGTCTTCACTTGGGACGCATATTATTTGACGATTTAATTTCCTTTTGAGCGCACCCTGGTATACGTTCAGCAATGCCACGAAGGCTTGAAACTTAGGGACTAAAGATAGACAGTCTCGAAAGTGGAGGTGAACAGTTTCATTAATTTTTGGCAAGCACGTATGCTCCCATGCACCATAACAGGACTAAGAAAGTCGTGTCAGCACGTTGCTTTTGTTGAACACTAGTGGTGATCGATGGCTGGGTTTGGATATACTAATCTAGAGCAGCAATTTGAAGACATTGAGGATGTTCTTAGCGAGGACCTTGGTACAGTTGTATTAGTCATACACTTCTTGTTATACGTATAATTGAACATGTAATAATACTGTATTTGATGACTGTTTCCTTTATCATGAAGAGCGTTGTTTTCAGTTTCTTTAACTTTTTATATAGTTTTTTTTCTTTTCTTTTTTGTTTGCTCTTTTTTTTCCAACACAACAGGCTTAATTTAGCTTTTTAAATGCGTCAGCCTCTATTTGCCAGTTTTTAAATACACTCGCACGTAGTTTTTAATTAACCGAATTCTAGCTGCTTACAATCACATCAAAAATAAACAGTCAAAACGAAAGTAATAATATCTGTTCCGGGTTGGTGATTTAAGGTATTTTCCCGAAAAACATCAATTAATTATTGCAAACACTGCGTTCACATCTCACACACTGTACTTTATGAGGGCTGTTTCTATTTGTGGAGGAACATTTACATTTTGTAGAATATATTTACAGCTGATTATTGATACATGTACTCATACATGAATTCACTTTACCTTGAGACGTTACAGTCAATCAATATAATGTTTTTTGTAAAAGTTAATTTATTTAGGTTACCTTTCTTTATTCAAATTGGGGTCCTTAACCAGATTTTGACAAAGGGAGTTTTATTGAGTGAAAAATCCACTGTAGAATTAAACTGAGAGTTTGAAATGTTCATAACTACATGATATTTGTCAACGACAGCAATAATAGTGATTTTTAAGATGCTAAATAATCAGGGACCTAATAGCCATTTCCATTATCCAGGGCCACCACAAATTCACATTCAGTTAGATGACCTGAAAGATGTCTATGACAAAGTCCAAATTAAGAAATCACCATGTTCTGAACAGCGTATTGCCAAAGGAAAAGTTAATGGAGTTGCATGGACAGAGGGCCAAATAAAAAGTATTAGGGCATTTGTTGAGCGTACTCCTGAGGCAGCAGGAAAAGTTAGTGACAGAATTCATGTTGGTAAGTAGATTTCAGAAAGTGATTCACCAGACACATGAAGCAGACTGCACTACAGAATACACAGTTTTGAAAATGTTAAGGTGGCTCTCCAAAATCATAACATTGCCACCTTTTTTAATCAGTTTGATATTTTAACACAGAGAGTTGTCTCATTATTAATGAAGACAATATTTTTTATGGCAAGTGACCATACACCACAGTAACTAGCTAAAAGCTTTACAAATAACAGGAGTGACCACCATTATTTATTACCACTGCAGTATTTTACAATCCATGCAGTTTACAGAGGCAGCTATAAGCTGACACATCAATTGAATTCACCCATTTTAATCCCGCATCTAACAAATAAGCAAGAGGGTGGTGGAGTCTAAAATTGATAATTCATAAACTTTTAAGTGCTATGGGAAAGTAAATCTGAAAATGTAGCTACTGTACACTGTATACATATACATATCAGGGGTTTCAATAAGCACTGACGAAACGCGTTGGCTACATTGCTCAGAGAAGTCGGCGCTACTTTTTCCCTCAAAGAAGAAGCGAGTAGTTTGAATTGTGTCATGGACAAAAACAGAATCTGTTCACGTTGAAATGTATGTAACTTAGTATAATTATCATTTGTTCATTGCTTTCAGGAGTTAATTGTGTGGCCAATAAATCAAAATTTGACTACATGTACAACCCAAATCTTCCTGAATGGAAAACTCACTCTTTTATACTCATTTCAGTCCCCTAAACGCTGAAAATCTCTTATAAGGGCTTTGCAATTTTAACATATTCTGAGGGAGAATGCCCCCAGACACCCCTTGAAAATGTGGACTGTTGAAACAGTTGGTTACTCTATTCAAATCTGCTAGTTACTTCAATTTTTATTGAAACCCCTGCATATACAGCGGTATATAAAAAAAGATGAAGGAAATTTATTCAAAACAATACAGTACAAGCCCTGTGATCACAAGGGAGGTACTTGCATAAAGGTAGACTCCAACTGTACCCTCTCATAAAAGTTCCATTTTTCACAAAGAGGGTACAGCTTTCCTGAAAATGTACACATATTTAAGAACACTGCATACCTTTTCTAAACCCTTCCTTGGATTGAAGTTTATAAATGATTTTACAAGACAACATAACAAAACCATAGATTGTTGGTGTTCTAAATATTTTAATTAAAGGCCCTTTTAAATGCTTAAGTGTCACATTTCCCTCCCATAGATATTTCACACCTCAACTACAGAAATCCCTAACTTCAAGTCTGAAAAGGGCACATGACCCACCACCTTCACCCCCTCCTTCCCCGGGCCTGTTTCTGTAGCCCTAAAAAATTCAGTCTGCATTTGAAAATTTTATTCCAACAGGTCCCACAGAGCTTCAAGTCAGCTATGAGAAATATGAAGCTAATGCAGTTCATTTCTCAGTTGATCTGGACTCTGTATACAAAACACCAACAGACGAACTGGTTTACTCACTGGACAAAGTTGAGGTGGAAGAAAGGAACAGATGGCAGATTGCTATCACTGTGGAACTTATTGATGGTTTTGTGGGAAGATTCATTTCAAACGGATTTCGCATTAGAACAAGACCAAAGGCACCCAAACCAGACGCCCCTGGTACAGGTAAAGTGTTTTCCAATGAAGAACCATGAACTATGTCTAACATTTCTGCAGAGCTGTACAATTAATTGTTTCCTTATTTTATTGATAATAGAAGTCATGAGAAGCTCATTGTTCAGGTTGTGTAGTGCATGAATAATGAATTAACATAAAAATAACATGGTTTCATTTTGCAGTCCATGTATTGGAGCAAGAATAACAACTTAAAGTTAAATAGCGCTTCGTTATTCACAATGAACTGATCGATGAAAATGTTTTGTTTTTATAATGCATTATCAGTAGTTAAACTTGATAATCAATTTATTACACAATTGTATTAGCATTTAATGCTCTGATAAATTTTAGAAGAGCATTTAAGACTCAAGATACATATTATTTTTAACATTATACTAAAATAACTACAATTTTTTGTTAGCACCAGACGAAGTTCCAACAAATTCAAATAAGAGGAGAAGAAATGAATCAGGTAGGTTGTAGTTAATTTTTTATAGATAGCAGATAGAGGCTGATAGGCATAATGGATGGTTCTGTCATGCACATGTTTTACAATGAATTTATATATATTATATAAAATTTATATTTTCAACTAACTCCTATGCTTTTAGTTTGAGATTTTCATGTATGTGTATGGCGAGGAACTATAATAATTTATTACTTAACGGCAGTTTTTTTGTGTGTATAGGTTTTTATAAGATTTTAATAAAGTTATGATTGCTTTATTTATTATTGTTATTCAACTTACATACCGGCTTAGTTATTGTTGGTTACAACTGCAGGTACAACTGTAAATGATTACTAGTTATGTTGGGGATGAATCAAATAGTGTACTGTACACCAATAAATTTATGTTGTAAATCTTACCTCTAATGTAAAGATCAAGGAAATGTAAATTGTTATCCCCACATACTAGCAGGATAATATTATAGCATTAAAACCTTTAAGGCAAGGGGAGGGCTCCTTCATTGTACAAAAGGGATTTTCTACAAAGGTAGGTGCGGATTTAAAGTAGAAAAGGAAACAATTGGAGACGTACAACAAAACATTAGGTTAAGGAAGCATTCCGGTTTGGATAAGGCTAAAGTGTATTGTGCTCAGTTGGTGAATGGGCACTAGGACAGTGCCTATGGAACAGCACAAAATGGTGCTGTGTACACACACCATCACCATCAGAGTCCATTTTTAAAAGGGAAGCTTAACAGGTACAGCTATAATTCTGGCTATGCAGTAGATTGTGGACAAAGTGAACTGCTACTATTAGAAAATAACATGCCCATAAAAGGACTTTGGTATTGCAGTTCTGGAGTGGTTAGTTCTCTGCAGTGATGGGTCATGAGTTTACAGTACACAAATACTTTTAGGGAAGGCATGTAAGGTTATGGCATGTTAATAGTACAATATACATAGTACCCGTATTCTTATAGCTGCATGTAATCTAAGTGTATTGACATTTATTCATATCTACACTTACCATTTCCTTGGATTGATTGACAGATTATTGATCTCTGTAGGTTCTTGTCATTCTGACTATTCTTCAGGTGTAAATTCAAGTCCTCAAAATAATCCTGGGGGCTCGCCGCATTCAGGTACATTTTAAATTTATCCAAAACGTTGTCTCAATATCCAACGGTTTGTTGCTTGGTCATCTGATCAGTTTTCTTTTGTGCTTTTCAGTAGGTACATGTACAACTGTGGGTGACAGCCCTCCTGGGGTACAAACCTCGAATGCTGAAAAGGGTAAGTTGACTCTTTTGATTATACACTGTATTATCATTTCAATGTACCCTTCACTTAAAATAATGTATTAACATTTTAATATTTATTCAGCCATTTCCCCAATGGTCAAGAAGACCAAAATTCAACAAGGAAACACACCCTACCACATTCCACAGTTATGACCAATACAGTACTGTAAGCACGGCAATTAAGCCGTCCACATGCAACACTTAGGTTAAGTCGTACATGTATTAATATTAAAAATAAAAACTTTACAAATGTAGGTCTTTGCCACGTGTTACTCTGGTTTTTACCCTGCTTGCTACTGTAAAAAATTGTCATAACATAAGAAACTGGCCATCAGATAACCTGGAGATTGGTACTGTGTGCTTCCATACTACTACAGAGACATAGAGTTATAGTAACAGAGGATGTATCTCAGCAAAATTTATTCTTTTTTCATGCACAGTTTTCTAATGAAAAAAGGTAGAAGATCAAAAGGAATCATTTATAAGCTTACATTATCACGTGTTGAAAATTTTGTGAAAAGCTCTATAACTAGTGTGTAAATATCCCACAGTGAAAAATCGTAGTTGCGTCGGTTAAATTAATATTGCCCGAGTTCTTTTGTGCTCAAATGGGACCTTAACAAGAGGTTTGAAATACAAGTGACTGTTTTGACCCTCGGTGAAAGTAAAAGAACAGCAGGAATCTTAGTTGGGGACGTTGGGACGTAGGTTACAACACATGACTCAAATGAATATTCTCGTATGAATCTCGACGCTGGTTGTTAACCCCATTATGCATTTTTGTCTTTCATCTAAGCGTTTAGAAAGACTGGAAAAACTCGCTAAAAATAAAGAAGTATTAAAAAAAACATACCGAAGCTATAACTGCAGGGTTGCGAATAAATGAGCTCCTTCAATGGCGGACTGTCTGTCTTAGCTTATTCACTGGACTTCGGCTTACCGGCTCTCATTGCATGAAAATATTTGCCTCTCACCTTTTACTTGACTGTTTCCTTCGACAACTGGGTAGGAGTGAATATTTTCGGGCGTTAAAATACTTTCATGCTTTAAATTTTAGTACTCAAACCAAAACAACATAGTACTCTTTGCATTAATCGTGGAGCGAACAGCCGCGTCTCGTATTTCGCGCCGTAATCCGCGCCGTAAGGTTCGCGCCTTTTTACTCGTTACCAGGTTGCACTCTGTACTATATGATCACGTGAACACGAGAAGGATTGGAACGATTGGAGCGGAGCTTACAGTTAAAGCTTACAGTGCGCCTGGGGGGCTACTTCCCTATAAAAGTGACGGAGGTGCTAGTCGAACCTTTGAAGGTGCTAAACGGGAAGATGACTACTGTCAGAGTTGATACGCTTTATTAGAATAAAGATTTATGACAATAATTTCAAAAAGTCCTCGAGAAGAAAGTGTTCGAAAGTTATCTTGATTACTATCAAAATTTGCAGTGCCAGTTATATAATTTGTTGTTGTTGACTTAGTACCTAGCTCTTAGGGGTATAGGGGTGGAAATGAATTTGGGACGTGCCCATACACCAAGATTCTGGTACCTTTTTGGGTGTTCTCGAAATTTTCCGACAAGCACCCCCGTCACTTTTATGGTGAATACTAACAATAAGTTGTATTGCCTCAGTTTTAACAGACCACCTGGAGGCACAACGAGCTCGCATCGAAGATCTAAGGGTGGTTAAGATGGTGACAACTGGTAATGCGGACATTGCTTATCATCTGAACCTTACAGAATCTGCTCAAAGAAGACCTGATTTAGAGGAGGGCGATGTGATTGCCTTTGTGACCAATGCTAAGACTGGTCAAACGGAGATTGAGAAGCTTACACAGGAAAACACTCAACGCGCTTTGATGGCGGGAGTCATCAGCCGGTCTGCTTACTTGTATGCGCATGCGCCAAGCCATGACGTTGAAAAAGGTAAAACGTAGAAGCCTTCCGGTTTTCATGTAACTTACAGCTGTACATAAAATGATAAAATAAACAGTAAAAGTGGATTTCCACTGTCGCATAATTTTTCGTGCGTAAATAAAATATAAGTAGTGATACCAGTGCCGGATCCAGACCTTGAGATAAGGGGGGGCGGGTCATCTACACCCTGAGATAAGAGGGGGGCACAGTCTTCAAAACATTTTTTTCGGCCCTACGGGCCTCAGTTTGGTCTAAAAATGAGGGGGAGGGCCGGGCCCCCTCGGGCCCCTCCCGTAGATCCGCCAGTGGATACTTTACGGAAAGCCGCGCGTAATCGTAAAATTTGAGCGTGATTCAACGTCCTTTTACGTTTACGCGCGACCTTTCATAAATTGCCTCTTTAGTGTTTTATATTTTATTTACAGCACGCCGTAAATTTTACGCTCGTACGCACGTAAATATTGCGCAGCAGTGGTAAAACACCCTAAAGCACCAAAGAAATAGTAAATGCCTACAGTGACGAGTCAAATAGAAGAAGTCCTTAAAACTGTGTGGATTTGACATTTGAAATCGGTTGAAATATAATTTCTGATTGGTAATTGACTTGTTTGAACTTAACATCGTCAACAAACTGATGCCAAGAGAGATCATTCTCTGTTGCCGATGAAAAGTATAATTTTTAAATTTTTTTTCAACCTTCTTCGGTTGAGTATTGCGCCTTTTTAAACCCCCTTGGGGGCACACTGAGTTTATTAATATAATAAATCATTATTTTAAATTGAGCTTTTCTAAGGGCCTGTTTACATGGAGATGGGGGACCCCAGGTAGGTGAAGTAACCCGCTTGGGTGGGGTAACCCGCCTGGCCAAATAATCTTTCATTTTAATTTGATCACGTTTACATGAGTAGGCGGGGTGACCCGCCACACATTACCCAACCTACCTGGGGTCCCCAACCTCCATGTAAATAGGCCCTAACTTTGGGTCTCAAGAAGAAATAACTAAGTAAGTTACCAAGTCACTTATTATGAGCCAATCCTGAATGACAACTGAAATTTGTAACCCCTGTTCATCCGGACTCACTTCTCCCCGCACTCGTTTTTCTGAACGTTCATAAAAGAAGTTTACTTCCGATGGCTTAACCATTTCAGGAAGAACGGAAACAGTTTGTGTCATCGGAATCGTTAAAGTGAAGGTTCTTGGCACAGTCCAGAATGGGGAGCGCATCTATGTAGCATTAGACACTCCGGGAGTCGCAGTACCAGAGACTCAGATCCCGTTACGTCCGATGGCGGATCGTTCACCAACGCTTCTTGGCCAAGCGCTGGAGAGTCAGACAAGCTACCGTCTAGATAGCGTTCACTTGGTGCGATGCTTTGTATCGATAGTTCTGGGTATTCAGTCGGGACAAATTACCAACGCCATCGACAATCTCCAGGAAAGAATGCAAGGTTCTTTTCAGGAAGTCATGATTAAGGACAGGTCAAGATGGCTCAAAGGTGATTAATAAGGAATAAAAAACTTAAGGGAGCAGCAAGGATAGCACAGTTGGCTAGTGCGGCCTTTGGTGCGCGAGGTCCCGAGTCCTATAGACCTCTTTCATATATCATACATAAATATGATAATTAGTCTTTCTGAACTCGTTTGAAAGAAAGAAATTCTTTTGTATTTTGCACATGCTAACCAGGTCAGAAAGGCTAAATATCATACATATAAAATAACGCATTAATAGGCTGCCCTTGTAAAAGAGATTTATGCCCGGTGACACCACATCCTTGTCTCAACTTCTCTCCTTTCTGTGAAGCTGTAACTAACTTCAAATACCCTTAAAGTCTATCGACGTAAAAAACAGTTGCTGCAGTTTTCAAAAACAAAAAAAAAGTGGCCGATCAAGATGGAAGGGGTCCAGAGGGCCTAAACTTGAAAAACACGGCTTTTTAACCACTAAGTGTGTGTGTGTTCATATGAATATTTCAATTTTACTTGTGTTAAAGATTACTAGAAACACGAGAGTGGCAAAACGAGAGTTTAGTTTGCTGCTTAAGTTTGGATCCCTTTTATAAAAAATTCCTGGGCCCGTCTCTGAAAAAAAACTCCAAAGAAAAGAGCTTCAGCAGTTTTTCAACGAGTGCACATTTTACCCCAACTGTGAGAATATGTTTATGTTTATGTTTATGTTTTCATTTTTTAATATTATTCATATTTTTATACCTTTTTGAAATTCAATTTTAAGTAGTTCATTTTAACTTTCTGATTACCGGTTCGGACTTGCTGTTCTGAATAAACATCATCATTATTATTATTATCATCATCATCATCATTGTCAGCATAATCATCTTCATTACCAACTTCGTCATCACTACAATCATCATCACCATCATCATCGTGCACTGAGCAAATCTCCATACACCCGATAAATCCAGCGAGAAAAAGTCACAAGAAGCTCGAGGGTCAAGCGGAAGGCCACGGAAGAGGGTGATTCATACCTCCCAATTATCATGTCATATCTTAGAGCATTAATTATACTCTCTTGGTAAGAACTGATAATTCTGTCTGCTTTTCAAAGCTGCGTGCGTTGTTTCGTGAATATTGGTGTTATTGATTTATTTGTCAGGCGTTGCGTGGAAGTTGGCGTTAGTTCTTGTCTTCGCTGGGATGTTAGCTGCACTCCTCTACATATTTTGTGCTCCTGGCACTATCTACCAGTATTGGAAGTGTAAGAAAGGAAGAATCAAAGGTCATACAGCTTACTTTGAATACGTTACCTATGATCACCAGGTAAGTGCAAGCTGTTAGCATACTGCAGTCGAATCTCTATGTGCGACCACTTCTCGTAAACGACTACCTTTATATGCATAAGCGACCACTTATCCAAATCACCAAATATTTCCCAGTCAAAGTCTTACAGCTGGAACCTCTCGTAAACGAGCTCCTCCTCTTAGGCTTCGCCGGCAAATCCCACACGACTACTACACAATACCGCCAGCTACGCAGGCTAACCTCCTCTAAGCGACCGTGACCACTTTTGGAGCGCTTTGTATTGCTTTTAAACCCTTGTAAGCGACCACTGGATGCATGGTTTGATGTCCATGTCTGCTGTATCTACAATGCTGCTCAAAGTCCGAAGAACGTTTAGTGGCAATATGGAACTACACAGTGTATAATGTATTGCATGCAATAAATTATCTTCCCCAAAGTAGACGAGTCCAGACCTCCACTCGGAAGAGTTCCCTGTGGTTAAAATTTCGTAAGCAGTCTCTTCCCATAAGCTACTGTTTGGGTATTTGTTTACGAGAGGTTCAATGCATATGGTGCTGTTACTGATCAAACGTTACTGCATGTTTGATATATCGAGGAAACCATTGTATTCATGACTGCGACAGCCTCTGCAACAAACTGTCATATGGTACCTGTGTATAGTCGCCCCCTCTTATGAAACAATAAAACATTTGTTTTAGGTTATGTACTGTCGTTACCATATATATAGTGTTGTTACCATACATGGGATTGTATTGAGTGGACTAGGATTCCCGGATGTGCGAGCACAAGGTTGTCAGATCGGTGTAGTAAGTATGGCGGGAGAATAAACGTCGGTTGTTTTTACTCCGGACTCTTTGATATAAAGCACCTTTACAGGTTTGAAGGCGGTTGTGCACAAGCTAGTATCAGCGCTTACTTTCAGAGTGAATGGTTCGATTGTCCTTGATCAAATATTTGTGCTTTTTTTGATTCAGTATCCTAAAGTTTATGGACTCGAATTCACGTGGGAAAAGTTGATGAAGAAGCTTCATCTTCAAGGTTATTGCCAGCCGTATAATGCATCAGGTACATGCATAACTAATTATTCACGTTCGCTGAAGTGGAACGCAGTCTTAATTCTATATGTCAGATGTTCTCTCTACGTATGTACAAGCCAGTAAAAATCCAGGGTTTTTATCTCTGCAATGGGCACTACCGAGTCTATCTGCCCAGGAGATTTTGCAAACGTCTATGCTTAGCCATTGACTCTCGGCGTGTAACCTCAGATCCCCTAGGTACTCCCATATTGAAGCTGCATCAGGATGTGCCAAGGAAAGGGATGTGGTTTTCGAGGTGTTCATTCAACTAAATTCTGTGTCATCCTGAGCGTTAAAATAAGATATAAATTTTCATTTATATGACTTATTCAATAGGACCCAAGAGCATGAGTGTCCGGGTTTAATAACCTTCGTGACACGTACCTATCCATAATTGGCCAGTATCTCCCTTAGACTTAATGAAATTATGGCATTTGCTGACATCTTCAGTCTGAGAAAGCAAGGCATAAAATGCCTTCTTGACAAAAGTCAGCGTGTTCGTATCTAGTTCGTTTAAATTAGAGGAGAAATATTTATATTGTTATTCATTTAAGAATAAAAAAAAATCCATGAATTTAGTCAAGGAGGTATTTTTCATCTCCTTCTTTTTGAACATTCCAACAGATCCCGTAATTTCACAAATTCGTGTCAGGCTATGTTCAAACCATACCGGATAGCTTTGCGCAGGCGGCACGACAACTATACTGGATAGCTTTTGCGCCGGCGGCACGACAACTATACCGGATAGCTTTTGCGCCGGCGGCACGACAACCATACCGGATAGCTTTTGCGCAGGCGGCACGACAACTATACCGGATAGCTTTTGCGCAGGCGGCACGACAACTATACCGGATAGCTTTTGCGCCGGCGGCACGACAACTATACCGGATAGCTTTTGCGCCGGCGGCACGACAACTATACCGGATAGCTTTTGCGCCGGCGGCACGACAACTATACCGGATAGCTTTTGCGCCGGCGGCACGACAACTATACCGGATAGCTTTTGCGCCGGCGGCACGACAACTATACCGGATAGCTTTTGCGCCGGCGGCACGACAACTATACCGGATAGCTTTTGCGCCGGCGGCACGACAACTATACCGGATAGCTTTTGCGCCGGCGGCACGACAACTATACCGGATAGCTTTTGCGCCGGCGGCACGACAACTATACCGGATAGCTTTTGCGCCGGCGGCACGACAACTATACCGGATAGCTTTTGCGCCGGCGGCACGACAACTATACCGGATAGCTTTTGCGCCGGCGGCGCGACAACTATACCGGATAGCTTTTGCGCCGGCGGCGCGACAACTATACCGGATAGCTTTTGCGCCGGCGGCGCGACAACTATACCGGATAGCTTTTGCGCCGGCGGCGCGACAACTATACCGGATAGCTTTTGCGCCGGCGGCGCGACAACTATACCGGATAGCTTTTGCGCCGGCGGCGCGACAACTATACCGGATAGCTTTTGCGCCGGCGGCGCGACAACTATACCGGATAGCTTTTGCGCCGGCGGCGCGACAACTATACCGGATAGCTTTTGCGCCGGCGGCGCGACAACTATACCGGATAGCTTTTGCGCCGGCGGCGCGACAACTATACCGGATAGCTTTTGCGCCGGCGGCGCGACAACTATACCGGATAGCTTTTGCGCCGGCGGCGCGACAACTATACCGGATAGCTTTTGCGCCGGCGGCGCGACAACTATACCGGATAGCTTTTGCGCCGGCGGCGCGACAACTATACCGGATAGCTTTTGCGCCGGCGGCGCGACAACTATACCGGATAGCTTTTGCGCCGGCGGCGCGACAACTATACCGGATAGCTTTTGCGCCGGCGGCGCGACAACTATACCGGATAGCTTTTGCGCCGGCGGCGCGACAACTATACCGGATAGCTTTTGCGCCGGCGGCGCGACAACTATACCGGATAGCTTTTGCGCCGGCGGCGCGACAACTATACCGGATAGCTTTTGCGCCGGCGGCGCGACAACTATACCGGATAGCTTTTGCGCCGGCGGCGCGACAACTATACCGGATAGCTTTTGCGCCGGCGGCGCGACAACTATACCGGATAGCTTTTGCGCCGGCGGCGCGACAACTATACCGGATAGCTTTTGCGCCGGCGGCGCGACAACTATACCGGATAGCTTTTGCGCCGGCGGCGCGACAACTATACCGGATAGCTTTTGCGCCGGCGGCGCGACAACTATACCGGATAGCTTTTGCGCCGGCGGCGCGACAACTATACCGGATAGCTTTTGCGCCGGCGGCGCGACAACTATACCGGATAGCTTTTGCGCCGGCGGCGCGACAACTATACCGGATAGCTTTTGCGCCGGCGGCGCGACAACTATACCGGATAGCTTTTGCGCCGGCGGCGCGACAACTATACCGGATAGCTTTTGCGCCGGCGGCGCGACAACTATACCGGATAGCTTTTGCGCCGGCGGCGCGACAACTATACCGGATAGCTTTTGCGCCGGCGGCGCGACAACTATACCGGATAGCTTTTGCGCCGGCGGCGCGACAACTATACCGGATAGCTTTTGCGCCGGCGGCGCGACAACTATACCGGATAGCTTTTGCGCCGGCGGCGCGACAACTATACCGGATAGCTTTTGCGCCGGCGGCGCGACAACTATACCGGATAGCTTTTGCGCAGGCGGTACGACAACTATACCGGATAGCTTTTGCGTCGGCGGCGCGACAACTATACCGGATAGCTTTTGCGCCGGCGGCACGACAACTATACCGGATAGCTTTTGCACAGGCGGCACGACAACTATACCGGATAGCTTTTGAGCAGTTGGCACGACAACTATACCGGATAGCTCTTGCACCGGCGGCACGACAACTAAAGTGAAACCCCTCTATAACGAAGACCCCGTTATAACGAAATACATCTGAATGCCTGGCAGAATTACATCACGTGGAAACGAACCCCGCTATAACGAATTTATCCCAACGCACAATTTACCCCGCTGTAGCGAATATTTTGTCCGGTCGCTCGCAGTAGTCAGTAAAAACGACAGATTTGAGGAGAACGAAATCACAGCTTGCTTTAATTGAAATTGTTTTTGAATTTAATGTCTTGATTGCCAGCGCTTCACACTGACAGTTTACAGTGTCAAATGAATAAAAATTACCCCGCTGTAACGAATATTTTTGCTGTTAACCAGATAATTCGTTATAACTGGGTGTTCGCTCTAACGAACAATTTTTTGGGTACCTTGGCACTTCCTTATAGCGGGGTTCCACTATATACCGGATAGGGATACTGTTCACACATTAGAAAGGTGATTTAGGCGCGATTTCTGTAACGGAGCGAAGCTCCGCCGCGCCGATCTTGAAAATGGAGAGTCACATATCACATAGGTTCCGCGAAGGAGTGAAGAAGTAGGAGCGAGGACTGGAATCCACTGAGAACTAAGTAAATATTTAGGAGTCGGGACTGGGATCTAGTTCAACAATTGCTTCGGCAAGATGTTCGATGTGTGTGAACGACTTGTCCCAGTTCTGTGCCTTTTCTCTTTTTAACCAGATAACGTTTCATGTCGGCACGAAAAGTTATCCGGTATAGAGCGTTTTCACTCACGTGGCCAGCATCTATGCAAATTTATTGGAACAAAAGAAAGGGTTTGCATAAGAAAAGAGTTCAACTCCCAAAGGATTAGTTTGGAACACCAACATGGCCGCCGTTTCATTGTTTTCGGACACCAATATGGCCGCCGTGACGTCATGTGAAAACACTCTATGTTGTGAACACAGCCTTAATTAATTTGGTCGTACAGTTTACTTCTCAAAAGATTTGACTTTTCTCTTACTCGGACTTCTCTTTACAGGAATGCATTATTATCTCAACCTTGCCCGCTGTGCCTACTTTGAACATATTGTTTTGGATCACAATCCGCAAATTCGTGGACCAGAGTTGTTCGCAGTGAATCCGAATTGCACTGAGGTGTATTATGTGGAGTGCGATATTCACAAATGGACGCGGTACAATTCGGCGCGAAACATCAAATGCAAGCCGCCACCATCCACTTGAAACACCAAATTCCTCCTCAGATTTTCTGTTTGTAGCCAAGGAGAATCTGGAACGCGATCATTAGCTTCATAGCCATTGGTTAACGTTAAACTTCGTGCTATATAACAAGTTATTGCGTGTGTTAAGTAAGAGAACGAAAAGATAGGAATGTCTCCATGAGGAGAGAATTCTATAAGATTCCATAAGAACTCTCTTTCATAAAACGTAACTTGATAGAGGTTTAAGCCCCACAGGCAAATTACGATTCTGGGGAAGGGAACACATGCAGTATGAGAGAGGAGGGGATGCCGTTTTGTCTCGTCGCTTAGGGATGAAAATGGCAGATTTTGGTCTCAGTAAGAGTATTCAGGACGGAGAGACAATATTAACGGTATATATATCCATACACTCATGTATCGCTTACGATCGTCCCTAAACATATCTATCTAAAATATAAACTCCGTCTTACTATCTGTGTTTAAAAGAGCATTCGAAGCCAACATCTTAAGCGCAATTAAAATCAATTGGTTGTCATGGTGTCCTCTTCGGGTCTGAGCCGCGCACACCGATTGTTCCCCTTTAGGAGGTTTAATTTAATGTTCCGACAAGCATCCCCGGCCCTCCTGGGTCCCGGGTCCCCCCACCTCCCGTGACTGCGAGTCATGAGTTTGCAATGATCACCCTCTGGATTAGGCTCGATTACCAGCCGCTGTTCGGGAAAATGAGCCCGCACTCATCCCCCGAAAGTCTCTCTTCGGGGAGGATCAAAGACCGGACCCGGGAGAAGGCGGAAACCGAGCCTACCTCTGGATCACCCTTAATTGGTATCGTAGTAAGAAACAAAAGGTTGTGAGCTAATTTAAAGCATATAGAAGCTCTAAGCGTTACACGTATGATTTTTTTAAATTCAGATTTACACCTGAAAAGGTGATTATATTCTGATTCAGAAACAATTCTGATCTTTTCGATGAGTGACCAGCTTGTTAAGTCGCTTGCACCGTAAAGGGATTCAAAGTTCTCGCTCATGGGATTAAACGAGAAACATTGTTAACCATACCCCTAGGGGAGTAGATCAAGTATCTCCTTCATGTCTCTTCCAGAGGAGAGTCATTATTGGAGGAGCTCAAGCTGAAGCCACCTCTTAGGTCTCTTAAAAATTTTAAAGAGACTAAAATAGCACCGCAGTTTTTATAAGTAAACACAAAACTGCGTTGTTTTCCAGCTCTTGTCGACCAGCTTGCGAGCAAGCTCTCTCTCGGTATCCGAGTCGAGCATCGCCAAAAGAACCTCTACCGTCATTGACGTATCTATGGGATTTATCAAGGCTTAAACGTATTTTTTTAAAAGTAGGTGGTTTCAATAGTTTTAACCCTTAAACTTCCAAGATCGGATTCGTAATTCTCCTTTCTGACTGCTATACACTTTATTGAATGTTAAATAAGAGAATTTGGGGTTATGTCAACATTAGCTTGTTCCAGGTTCTCAGATAGGAGGAATTACGTGTATTCGCACTTTCTCAATTTCGCGGACCCGACAATCTAGGAGCCTGGAACAGGCTATGTCAACATCACATCCTCGGGCTGTTAATTCGCCCATTCTCACCACCTATCTGTTGGGCAGTGTATTGGATATTCCAAGGAGAAGTTACATGCCAATCACTTCTTGGAGGGTAGATGCGTGTACGGCTGTGAATCAATTCATACAATTTATTTTTTAACCGCTGCATTGTTTTGTAGTTTATTTATATAAGGGACATATGAATGTCCCGATTGAAGGCATGTTCCCATATTTAGTTTGTGTACCTGTGTTGTACAATAAAAAAATTGCTATTTAACAAACGTTTTGTCAAATTTGTGTGGCGTAACTGTACCAACTATACGGTCGGGGGGGGGGGGGGAAGGGTGGGGAAAAAGAACGGCATGGGGCGGTAAAGCTGGTGCGCCGGGTGGCTATTGCGAAATCCCCAAGAAAAGAAAAGAGAGATATAAGACACGGGAAAACTGTAAATGGGAAAACTTATTTGAAAAAACAATTCACCAAGTTTGAAACCATGGACTTTGTCAAAAGAAGAAAAGGGAAAGGGAAAAGGCATTATTTTTTCCCGGGGTTGACAAAATAGAACCCAGGGAACAAAGCTACAAACCAAAAGGGGTGTTTTTTTCCCCACCCCCCCCCCCCCCCCCCCGACCGTATAGTTGGTACAGTTACGCCACACATACCGTTGTATATCAAAAAAAAAATGCCTATGTAACAAAAGTTTGGTCAAGTTTGGGGGGCGTAAGTGTACCAAATATGGGGTGGGGGGGGGGGGGAAAGGTTGGGAAAATGAACGCACTGTCGATGTCAAGCTTGTTCGCCTGGTGACTATTTCGAACTACCGACGTAAAGTAAGGACTCTTTACCTTTCACTTTTTTATGTTCGACAAGTACATGAGCTCTCAAACTGGGGTAAAGTTAGTTCAGATAATTTCTGCCGTTTCTCGTTTACCGTAAGCTTAAACTCTTCTCATTTATCAGTCGAGATCTTAACCTGGTTCCCAGTTTCTCTCTGAATGGTCTCACTGAATGGAAGAAGAGATGCCCTGGAAAAAGGATTTTCGAGAAAGTAAAACTATCACTCACAGGCACCACCAATTTATATAAATCAATTTATTTTGGTACATTCGTCAATATCAATTACAAAGCTATCACAAAATGTATTCAAAATCACGAACCACAGTCGAGTATGATGAACATTTGTTGAGTGTTTTCACGGCAATTGTCAAAGTACTGTTTAATAACAGTTTATACTTGGTGTCGGTTTCTTTATCTATTGTATACTTTTTAAACTAAACTGAGAATTCAGTTACCAAATTTTTACATAATAAATTTTACATAATTTTACCTTTTTTCTAATTCATTACAATCACTAGCGACATTTTTTAATAGATTACAAACAGCTTCTCAATAAAATGAAACGAAAAAAAATACTCCCAGCTCGCTTTCTTCCCATAATTTATAGTAATAACCGCATGAAAATGTCCCCTTTTCCTTTGTTCTATCGTCCCTGCGCGTGTATAAGCCATTCAAAAAGCGCGCGGCTTTAAGTCTACACTGCAATAATGTATTCAGTTAAATAATCTTAAAGTTTTTGTACACTTCGATATTAAACAAAAAAGCAATTACAAATTCCATAACTAATACAACAAAATTTAATTCAAAACGAAGGACCAGCCTTCGAGGCGTTCTCTGAGCATGCGCAAAAGTGACATATCAGGTATCAGGGCTACACAACAAAAAGGGTCTGTGAAAACAGTCATCAGTAAGTACTTTTTGGAGCAGATCTCCTCGAATGTCTATAATGGCATGAACTTTTAGTATATAAACCCCCTTTGAAATATAATCATCGATTGGGTATTATAAGTTTCGTATTGAATGAGTACGAAAAATTCCTAATCTTCTAAAATAGTACATTGTAACATCACTATAAATATTAATAACCATCTCATTTCCTTACGTTCCAAAGTCACATAAATTTCTCCTCATAGTCTACAAATGGTAAAATAATTATGTATTCCGGGAGAACTATAGCAACCTACTATTTACCTGGATGTGCATGAGGCGCAGTTGTCAATTATTATACGATTATCCAAAAAAATTAATTTGTGTGGTGCCTATAAAACAGTCGAAGATGATACGTACAGAATTGACTCACGCAAGGGAGTCAAGGGCTGTAGCAAACATCTTTAGAAATGAGCATTAACTGTAACAGGGCCCAACCGGTAATTTATTGGGAATCACTACATGTGTTAATCACGGTGGACAATCTTTTTTTCGCGCACTTCACTAAACGGGTAGTGCTGAAGAAAAAATCGTGGTAAAACAAAGTTCTTTGGACAAGATACAGCGTCGTTATTCCAACGCATCAATACAAACTTTACCACATCGTGAATCATTCTCTATATACAAGAAATCTTGACCCAGTCATTTGACGTGAACCTTACTTAAACAAACGTTTACCACGACAACCAAACCTAAAAAGCTATGCACTGAGTTTTATAAAATGTATTCTTGGTTTCCGCTTTGATGTGCACTGTCTCTTAATGTCAGCGGAAAAAAAAACACTGAAAACGTTGCGTGTGCATTAAAAAACGTCACCGCGTGGAAATAACCTGGCTTCTCCAACGTTCAACGTTGAATTGTCGTCTTGGGGAGTCTTCTTATAAAAGAGATCGCGTGTTTCCCGTAAACGCAAAGAAACAGAGTTCTTTCTCACTCTTTTCTCAGGGATGCGCCGTGCAAACAATGTCCCTTCCGCTCACATAAGGTGTCCAGTATTCAGCGTGATAATAAACAGTTGAACAGTTGTGATTTACTGCCACTATTTCGGCTCCACGGACCATTTCTTTGCCATCCAACGGCGATCCTACAAGTCGAATTCCGCCGTAAGCGCATCGGTCGAGATTAAGGTAATAGCGGGCGTCTGAAATGAAGAATGAAAAATTGGGTAAAAATCAACAAGTCAGCGGTGTTGTTACGATTATTTCTTTGTGATCTTCGTCTTTCTCAGCGCAAATGACCGCTTTGAGTCCGAGTCATCGTATTCCGCCTTCACTTTCAAACAATCCGGCGCTCTAAGTAAGTGCTATAAGTCAGTTAAGATGCCAAACGTGAAAGTGATTTGTTGAGCCTTTGAGCCTTGCCACTACCATACAAACGTCTGCAAAATTTCGAGACTTTGTAAAGCAATATCTTCGCTCTCGTTGGAGGTATCATCTTTAAACTTGGTAAGTTACTGTAAACTTCCGCTTTTAAGCCCTGAGCTTATAAAACTTCGTAGGGGTTTTAGGAGGGTTGATAAAGGAGGAGGGGGGGGGGAGGGAAGCTTGTATCCTGGGGGACTTATAACCGGACTGAAAAAAGCGTTTCAAAACAAGCGACACAGCAGTGATGATCAAACGTCGTAAAAATTCGAATTCATTTCAATACAAGCTATAGGGGGGCTTATTGTGTTTACAGGTAGATGGGGGGCCTTTTCTGCAGGTACTGTCATCACAAAAGAAACAAAGAAAGCAAACAGTAGAGTTCTCCTGGGGGCTTTATTGTTTGTTTGTAATGTTTCTTTTGTTGTACGTAATCTGTGCCTCGTTAACTACAGAAGGAACCTATATGGGCCTATAACTGGGGGGGGGGGGGGGGGGGGGGGGCGGTGGAAAGGGGAGGTTAAAGCACCTTTTTTTAAGCCCCCGTTTTCTCCCGCTCTCATGGATTTTCCCGTTATTGCTCTATATAAAACTTGTAAAAAAAAAAAAAAAAAACAAAAAAAAAAATAGGAAGTGACTGCATGTGCGGTGTGTGTTTGTGCATACTTGGAAGATAAAACTAGAGTGTGTCTGCTGATGTTAGTCGTTGGTTTTTGTGGTTTTTTTTGTTGTTTATTTTGTTTATGTGGTCGTGTTAGTGCGGGGTGGGGACACGGAGGTTGGTGGGTGGGTGTGGGGGGGGGGGGGGGGGGGGGGGGGGGGCGGCGCTTGTAAGAGGAAGTTTAAGGCACCTTATTTCAAGGCCCATTTTCCATCAGTCTCAATGGATTTGCGCTTAATGCTCTATATCAAAACTTGAAAACAAACAAACAAAAATAAAACAAAAACTTGGAAGGCCGGGTCTATTGTAAACAAAGACTCCCCGATGTTCACCATTCAAGATTCATTTCCCTACCTGTTTGATTTATTTTGCCAAACTTCAAGTCCATTTTGCTCTTCAATTTATCGAAAGTAAATTCAACACCGTGAACTCGAGGAATCTGGTTTAAGAAACAAATAAAATTAGGTTAGAAATTACGACAAATAAAACATTTATGTACTAAAAAGTACAACAGGCCATATCTGCAATAGGTATCAGGGGTGAGTCTAGGATTTTGATGGGCCTATTTTCGCGCTCAGGAATACCCGCCTTGTTCTCGCAAGAAAACACTTTCTTTTGGTCATGTAATAAATTCTTTAGAGTGATTTTCGTACAACCTTGAAATGAAAACGAGCAAACACAACAGAAAAAACAAACGAACCGGAAAATAGAGCGATTTGATTGGTTTATCGAACGGATACAAAAGCGTGTGGCTGTTGGTTGGTTAAGCGAACGCTCGGGTGACAAACTTCATGCCCGAGAACTTGCTAGAAATCAATCGATACTTCGCTTTGACGTCATACTGCAACAAGATTAGCCAATCAAACAATGCCTTTTCCATATTAGGGTTTTCTATGGCGGGAAAACGAACAGGCCATGTCTTGATCTTGTCGTCCATTGGCTAATAAAACAAATAACGAACACTTACCGAAACCATTTTTCAAGGTCACATGAAAATCGCTCTAAATTCTTTATTTACCAGGGTTGTTCAGGCCCCTTTTATATGAAGAAAAGTTGTTCCGGATAGAAGGATCCTCGCCTACCCGAGTAACCCCAGGCGAGGTAACTTTTTTTAACATTTCCTTGCAAAATTTTGTGAACCCTTATGCGTAACAAAAAGGTGGCTCGGCTATAAGGGTGACTCGACTAGCCTGGTCACCATTTTAAGAGACAAACAGAGCATGCGCAAGGGCTGATGTCACCCCTTGGCTCCTCTTGGCTCAGGCAAAGGGGTCTACTTTTTTCTCATATGTACGCTAGCCACAGTTGACTCGGCTGGGAGAGTGATGCTCTTTCCTGGGACAACTTATCTCCATATGAACGGGACCTCAGGGAAGGTGGATGGGTATTAGCCTCGGTCTTACTTCACGTGTTCTTGTACCTTAGCTTAAACTCAGCAGTGGTGGATCCAGGGGGGAACCCCTCAACCAAACTGAGGCCCGAAGGGCCGAAAAAAAACTTTTTTGGAGACCGGGCTCCCCCTTATCTAAGGGTCTGGATGACCACAAGGTCTGGATCCGGTACTGCTCAGTCCATACAAACAAACAAAAAATGAGCGAAGGAACCCAATATCCCGGCCACCATCTGGATCTCTCCCTAACGCACCTGTATGTGCTAAAAAGCGACAAAGAGAACCAAGGTGTGCAAGAAAAAAAGCAAAGTACCTGCTTATCAGCTGTCGTGAATGTAAACCACATTTCACTGTTTTTAATACTGCCTAGTTGACATCTGTAATAACGAAAGGCGGTGCCAGGTGCAAATAACTGATACAGCAAAACTCCTAATAGAACGGCTAGGATGAAGCCCGCAAGCAACCAGCGACGAAAACCTAAAGACGTCAAGAACAGGTCATATTAGAAAGACTCCCATTTGTCTAAACCAAAAAGAGACGCAAGATCCTATTGGTTTAGCCAAGTGCTGTATACAATCATTCTGAGTGTATGCCATCAAACAGCGAAAGGGTCATGCCTATATGTTAACTGTTAACAGATCAGGCGTTCAAGCGAAAGCTACAGAGGAACCCTTTCCTGCGGTTCTTGTTAGCATGCTATGATTCATTTGTGTGCATCGTTAGTTCGAACTTTTGAGATCTTTGATCATACTGATCTAATTCGATTGGCAATCAAGCTGCGAGCTAAAGGGAAATCTAAATACTATTGTCTGTGTCTAGAGCCAGTTATATGACAGTATTACGTCAGAGCCGAGGTACATAACTGGGAAATGAAAGCACTGCCTTTGCCAGCAAAACAGCTCAACCTTAGCAAGACTTACTTGACCACGTAGAGAGGGCGGTCCCATCTCCAGTGTTCTCGATTATTTTTTTCGTACTTAATACATTGACGTTCAAATGAGGTGAGCTTTTTCTATAACTGTTTTTAAAAAAGTAACGGTTGCCACTAAGTTACCTCTCAAACACTTCTTTTTGACTGCCTTGACCTCAGTTTTAACATCCTCTTTCAAGTGTTTTCGAACATCATCGAAAGCGTCCGCCAAGTGTCCGTTAGTAATGCTTAACAAGGCCGAAACAAAAGACTGAACCAAATGAATGTTGCTCGTATTAGCGTCCGATCCTTCAAGCGTTTGGCCGAGGAGAAAGGCGTCTTTAGACACAGCATCACAAAGGCGGCTTTGGGGTATAGCCACTCCCGGGTGCTCCAGAGAGGAATACAACCGCTCGCCGTTTTCGACCGAGCCAAGAACCTTGACGTTCACCATTCCAATTATACAGACAAGGTCGCTGAGATCTGAAAATCAGAAGATACAGAAACTTTTTAAATCAATGTAGGACGCGCTCTCCATATGTAGCGATCGAGGCAAGCAGCGAGAGAACGCTCGAGTGAGCTGCTAGGTTTTGCTGCAAGCATGCATCTGCTAAAACAAATTGAAACTTAGTTTTGCCCCAAGACAGAGTTTTCTACGAAGTACCGTTTTTTTTACCTTTTTCTTCGTCCTCAGCTGGCGTTTTGGCTTCAAGGTAGGCTGATCTGCTAATGACACCCGCCATTTTTGCCTTTGACGCATTAAAATGTGTTAGTTTCTCAATGTGACTCTTTCCATGCGGTTCTCCAAAAAATCCAACGACGTCGCCCTCTTCTAAAGGAAGGTCATGGCTGGATTTCTCCAGTTTAAAATGATAAGCGATGTCCCCTCTGGGAGTTAAGATTGGCTTGTTAACTTGTAGTTCATTTATGACGGCCGACTTAGCTTCAAGGCGGTCCGTGACAACTTCGGAGGCTACAACGCCTAAAGGAAAGCAAAGTCACTGTTAACAATCGTTACTACATAAACGTGCTTTAAGGTCATGGTTTCAAGTTAATAAAGTTATTCATAAGGACCCCACATGCTAGGATCTAGACAGGGGCAACTGTTTCTCGCTGAGTGGTCAACTAAAGGAAATCCACGCTGCTACCACTTTTAACAAGCTAATCCTTCCATCGGGTGTGACAGAAGGCGTGAGACGGCGCGAGAAAAAAAAGAGAACATGATCGCGGTCTCTAGAGTTGCTTGCAAGTGGATGTTTTAATAAAGGTGTGTGACTTAAAGTCCCAAAAACATCAATGAGCCGTTAATCGTGTGGTTTCCAATTACTAGAGGGTGAAAAAAACTTAAAGCTAGCTTATCCATTTACACATCATTTGGCAAAGAATTCAACATTTGTGTCGAGTTCCAGTATAACGTACATTGTAAGTGAATAAATTTACTACCACGTATGTCAATGAATGAACTTACTGCTGTCGCTATTCAGATCACTGCCTATACTGCCAAGTGGACTGGCCTCTTCAACTAGAAGTAAACAAGGAACCGTATTAGATAAGGATAATCTTCCACCCTTTCACCACATTGGCCTAACGATTGGCAAACTTAATGCTCTTTAAGGTATGGTCACATGTTCAACAATTATGCGAAGTAAATTACCGAGTCATTGCAAGGTACGAGGACTGAGTGGCACCTAGCTTAAACATTTTAACCCTTGAAGTCCCAATAGTGATCAACATCAATTTTCTCCAAACAATATCCATAAATAGTCAAGAGATAAGGTTATGACAATTGATAAATGATCACCAAAGAGAAAACACCTATTGATCTATTATCAAAGTCTCTCAAATTATTCTTTGAGGAAATCTATAGAGACCAGTTTGGAGAATTTGTATGTTGATCTTGGGGCTTCAAGGGTTAAAGATGATTTCGTCAAGAATACATGTAGACATTTCACGCATTCCGCCCCAGTGAGCCAAGATAAAAAATGAGGTCGAGGCACGAAAAGCAATTTCATACAAATCACTGTATTATGTCCACCGAATCCTCGAGTTGACGCCTTTGTTACTGCGCTTTTCAAAAACACGTGAATTCTAAAGTTGAAAAAGCCAACTGCCGTTTTGCGATTTTCAGCGGACCTCTTAGGAAACAGAATTTTACTTTAACGGGCTCAAAAGGTCACGGTTTGTGATTTGTGATTGGCGAATTTCGATCCGTTTCGTGTGTTTCTCTGTTTCAAGGTTCGTTGCTTGTGATCATGATGGTAATTATGATTGAGGGCAGCAAAAAACGCATTTATGAAGGCTGCTTTTGAACTTTAGAGTTCGCGTGTTTTTGAAAAGCGCAGTGAGAGGAATGCGGCAAAGGTATTTCTCAGAACTACGTTATAGATGAGGGAGATTTGCTGTCGTTTTGAGAGGGCCCATTACCCACCCCCTGACTTATCTCAAGCCAAGGTCTGGATCTCCCCCCTGATAATATAAAACAAGAGAAGTTCCGTTGACTTACGTTTTGGTCTTTTCCTCTTATTTTCTGGACTAGGGGTGCCATAATAGCCATTATCACTTGACGAATCTTCATCTAAGCAAGAGAAAGAATGTGTTTTCATTGCTTATTATAGATTAGCGCCAGAAAAAGAAACAAACAAATTCCGGCGAAAGGCTTTCATCAATACCATTTTTACTACAGTAAAACTCGCGTATAAGAACCTGGATTTTTAAATTTAGCCTCAACAGGTTCTTATATAAATGGTACTTAAAGCAAATTTAGACTACCAAGGTTCTTAAAATAGGTTCTTATATTTTCATATGAATTTCATTTATGTATATTATAAATATCATCTCATAATACAATATAAATCGTTCATATCATAATGCCTAAAGGCACAGTACATTGCAGGCATGTCCTTAACAAAACATAACAAACAAACTCATTGTCAGTTCTCTGAAATGCCATTTCAAAGTTGATACACTCTTACAGCAACTCCACTAATAAGAACCTAACTTAAAAAATATGGGTTAATAGGTTCTTATGTGGAGGGGGCTTAAAATGAAAATTTTAGCCTAACAGATTCTTAAAACCCCGGTTCTTATACGCGGGGTTTTACTGTATCTAATACATGCAGGGCACGAAAACGACTCAACTAGCAACGTCTTTCCCAAGGTTCTGTCCTACCCGTCCAGAAACCGGTTGGAGAGAGCCCTGGGAACGAGGTATGTGTGACAAAAGACCCAGGGTATGAACTGACCGCATGTTAGAAGAACTCGCCCAGCTGAAAGATTTGGCAAAGGATCTGACACGTAAAACAAATGGTAACAAATCAGGCATATTTTAGTAAAAACTGCCTCGTAAAAAACATTTTTTTACTCTCCGCACATCCCAGTATCCAGTATCTTGGTCTGTAAACGAGCATATTTCAAAGACAAAACCATTTATTTACTTGTACTAACCTAGAATTTGTTTTTGGTGCTTTTTGCTTTGAACTTGGAAATGCTTGCTTATAAACTCCTTTGTTGATCCATCCAGAAAATGCAACACAACGATCAACCGAAAAATGTTTCTTTCTTCTCCCTTGACGCGCGAAAGTTCGTACACTTTTATTCCCTTATGAGTAATGTACACTGAATCAAGGTTAACGGAAAAGTTCACGAAAAAAGGTTCTTTTTTGCTGTACTCCACTTCCAGTGGGACGCGACCGTTCAAATCCTGAAGAATCCTGGCTGCTTCTGGACATCTCTCCACGTAAGCGGACACTCCCTGAATGAAAACAAAACAGAAGATAAGCGCACGTATTCCCAAATTAAATGCAATTGAAATCGTTTGTTAAAGGGGCTCTGAAGCAAAGCTCAGCGAATTTCAAACGGTAGGAACTGCAAGACCAAATTGAGTGAGACAAAATATAAAACGCAAGGAATACAAAGTTTTCAAAATGTCAATTTGGCGTTTGCAACGTTTAATATTATTCCGCCGCCCAAAAAAAAAGCGATGCCCACGAGTAGGATAACGCTTGAGGACTCACGCACTCTGTGCTCGCGCTTATCCTCCTCTCCCACGCACAACTTCTATCTCGCGCTCCATATTTCTAGTGCGCCCAATACGAACTCCTAACTGATATATGTCAGATCGCGGTGGCCCCAAGTTTAAGTCCCGCCATGACAGCTAGCTGGATTTCTCCTCAGTAGTCCCAAGGTTTTATTGCTCGGTCGCACTTAAAATGGCCTATTGATTTGCTTCTCGCAAGCTGGGATTATTGACCATGGTATATTAGCGATTTTCTCGACTCCACTATCCTTTATGCTATAATTACTACAAACTGTAAATAAAGGTTCTCATTGAGTTTAACGCTTTCCATTATTCACGATAAATACCTGAATTTGTTTTTGTGCCGTTGCTTTAAGACGAACGTCAGCCTTCAATAATCTCTGTTCTGAGTTTGCTTTCCGCCGACTTTGCCCTTTATCGTAGACATCTTTCAAATCCAAAACGGTCACATTTGCTTTTGTATCCTCCGTATAGCAGAGATCCAAAGAAGGAAATACTGTGGGAAAAAAAACGATGACTCTTTCATTTAAGATAGTATTTGACACCCTTTACTGGCATAAAACCCGCAAACTTAACAGTGCGAAAGACGCGAAGTGTCAGCCATTCAATACTTTCCTTTCCCAGCAATAGTAAGGCAGTATAATACTCTCTTTTAACGGTCAACTCGATAAAACGGTAGGCACGGTCCAGGCTCCGCAGTTGGGGACAACAGCGAAAAACTAGCGAGCGAAGCGAACCGAGCTGTAGTCTGGGGAGGATTTTATGCGGTTTCACCCCTTTTTTGCTATTGTTTTCTCCACAGCCGAGCATGGTCCCAGGCAACTAAAACGGACACCTAAAGTCAATGCCTGCCTTTCTTTATTTACCCCTCTTAGTTGGATTTTACAAGACGGACACCTAGAGTTGGACCCTGCCTTTGTTAACCCTTTCAGTTGACTCTCTGTAAGACGGACATCACTCTAAAGTGGACACTTGATGCCGATTTCATGTGTCCTTCTTAGAGAGAGGCAGTTACCGTAGTATCAAATGAATAACTAGTCGAAACCCGCGGAATGTGCTTTTGTTACCCCGTCGCATGCTCGAATCACGCGCGTGCTTCCCTAGTTTAATATCTCTGAGGGAAAATAGAGACCGAGACACGTCGGAGCGCGGTATAGACTGAGAGAGCGGTATCTTAAACAGTAAAAGACAACTAAGGGGAAAAGTTGGTAACATGGCACAAATTCACGTTTGCCGTTTGGCGTAAACGTAGCCTGCGTAGGATGGCGGTTTTGGTTGGGCGCGCTGAATAATAAAGGCAGGCGAGGACAGAGAAACCGCGAGGAGATTGGTGCGGGAGCAACTTGAAAAGTTTTCATTTTTGTCGCTGCTTCGCTTTTCGTTCACGCGCGCTTTTGAGGGTTCGCCGCTCAGTCGTGCTCCCGGCAAACCGCCATGCTACGCAGGCTAGCGTAAACGTGACTGTTAATAGAAAGGTTAAGCACCACGTTTACGTCAAACGGCAAACACGAATTTGTACCACATGATCAAGTTTCCTCTTTACTTGTCGTTTACGTTTCATTACTTCTACACATAAACTAGTAGTTTCACGCAGTCTTTTTATCCATAAGAATTGTTTTGACCTGTTTTTATACGCTCATTTTCTATTTTGAGAAATTCTCAACTTGAATCTGACGTTTGCTGTATACGTGAAGTTATGTAAAAATTCTCTATTCTCTCTGTTGTACGTGGAAATCATGCATTGCGTGCCCAAACCCCAAAGATAAGTCAGTTATCTACCAGCAGTTGACCGACAAATCAGTAGGTGCTGATTTCCAAAATCAACCGTAGGCTCTTAGCCAATGAGAAGACAAATGAGTACAATGTATAATCAAATTATTCATTATAATGGGCCTGTAGTATATATCTCGATCGTACGTACAAAATAGCATTTATTGACGTTTGATGGAAAAATATTATCTTTCAGTGAACTGAAAGAGTCATCTGCTTGCCAAATGCTAGGTCTCCATTAGAATTTATGACGTCATCCGGCGCTTGTGCCACGATTCACCTGGCTGCCGATTTGTGAAAAACAGATTTCAAAAAAATCGCATGCATCGGGGCGTTGCTTACGAGTAATAAGAATTTTTTACATTCATTTCCCAATATTAATGCTCGAATTATTTGGTCAGTTCTGCAACTCCGGGCAAAAAGCACGAAAAGGTTGCTTTCAACCCAAATGTCCTTGATTTGTAAAAAGTCAAAGCCACCTCTTCCAGTACCTTTAAAAATGACAAAAGTTCCTCAAACGGCGTTTAAAAATTGCTGCTGATGAGTTTAGCCTCCACAAAAAATCCCGTTACATTTGTTAGTTCGCGCAAATGAGACCTTTCGAAACTTTGCTAATAGTTAAATAAACATCGCAAAAGACGTCTGCGAACTCATTTTCATCAACTTACGTGTTTCGTCAAAAAAGATTCACTACTTGACTCTAATACAGTACACGTACTGTGTTATGCTTTTAAAAACAACTCACGGTTCCTTTGTCATTTAGTATGTAGAATTAATCGTCTGTGTTAAGACAACTGTGTACTTCTGAGAAGTATAAGTTTGTATGAACTAAATAACTACAAAAAACACTGTCTGGGAAAGACAAGGGTTTATACAATATTGCAAATAGCGCAAATAATGTAAGTCATATAACACTGTTAAGAGAACAATGAACAATACTGTTGATGTTACAGATATTTGGCCTTGGCCAAACAATATACATAAAGTAAAAATCTATTTGTATCTATTATGACGCACATGTACCATACGTTGAAATATTCTAAAGAAACGCAAGCCAAATTAGTGGGATGATATGATTAAGAGTTTTTACAGGCAGCACGAAAGAAAGTTAACCCTTCGCGCAATGATAGACATGGTAAGTTGCGCAATGAGCCAATAACCCTATTTTGCCAACGACTTAATTTCTTTACTTTTTGTTTTCCACTTTCATTGCACAGCTTAAAATATATCCTAGGACATCACAAACTATCCAATTTGAGGGACAGAGACGGACAACAGTTATGATACTCGTGAATATATGAACGTCTGTATTCATCCGGAAACTTCTTTTAACTTAACTAGGCCCCAAAGCGTCGCATAATTTTTAGTTTCAAAGAAGTCAAAAGTTTTGACCTTACATCGGTGCAGAAAAAGTCGCGGAGTTTTATAAAACAAAGATAATGACGATGTGGACACCACATTTTTAAAGGGCAGACGTGTTCAGCATAAATTTGCGACTTCTGGTATTGCACAACACCAACAGATAACGCCGTATAATGATGATGTGAGTCACTCTAGAAAACACGACCGCGCAGCAAAAAAGTAGTCTTTAACCTGTAAACTTGTAAAACTAGTTCTGCGTTCGTGACATTCCGAGTATCGGGCAATATCGAGAATGCCCTTTCCCTTGGGGGAGGGGAGGGGGTCGGTTTCACAGGAATAGAAAGGATATGTGACTTGCGCTTTTTGCAAAATCAAATAAGCAAAAAAAATATTTTCCTTTTGTCCTACGAAATTTTATCTGCGATGTCTTTTTTCAATATTTATTTCTTTAAGAACTCTGATGTTGCTGATTTTTGGCGACTTTATACATTTCCGCCATCAAAAAGCTTTTTTTTTTTGTATACGTTTTGCAAATCGCGAGTGGTGAAAAAAGTCTCAAAAGAATATTTCTCTCACAAGCAAAATAAAATGTAAGTTTACAAGCTATCACAAGTAAAAGAATAGTAACAGATCGAATATCTCGGCGTGATGATCGATGGGCTATAACCTTTGCCAAGTCATGATGTCAGACACCGTTAAAGTAATGATGCTGTAGGTTTTAATGTGCATGTTAGAACCGAGCCGGAAATTAACGTCGAATTTCATCTCCAGGTAAATTTGCAATATTGAATGATTTTTTGTGGATTGAAGTTAGATTACGGCCTACCATGAGAGAAATATTTATTTATAGGTATAATGAAGGCGGTGGAGCGTTCGAACGTGTGTTAAATTGCATGATTTCCTCACGACAATAAACATAACAAAGAATTTTTTCAACTCGATAATAAGCGTGAGTTAATTTACAGTAATAAGTCATGTATAAACTGCAGACAGCCAATCTTACTTATTGCGTAGAATGAATTTTTTATAATAAAAGTCCGACCGTAACGAAATAGACTTTAGAGTGAGCTTAGCTTACGGCGAAATGGACAACGAAACTGACAGGCCACGGTCAACAAAATAAACAGAATAATCTTCTGTCATCCGAATTGTTTGAAGGCATTGAAAGGAATCGGAACACATTATTAACAAGCCATGCATCTGACAGATTGAAAGTAAAATTTACTGAACCACTAACACAACTCAGACGCAATCGAAAGCTGACTAAGAGGAAATTTAGTGAAACAAGCTATGTAATTGACTATCGATTTAGCCTAAAACGGAGTTAACTAGAATAATAATAATAATAAAAACGCTAATGAAAGGAAATGGAATGCCAAGATAAAACACTGATTTATATTAAAGTTGAGTACCGAGGATAAATTATTGCAGGAATATTATTAAAGATTAGAGTGGCTGTAATCTCAAATCTGACATCGCAGCTGCAAGGAACCTCTCATCAGACAGGGCAGAAGTGAACTATAAGAACTTAAATTTTAAAATTAAGCAATAAAAGGAGCTCAGAGAAAAAGGATGAAACAAAATCTCTGTAAGAATTTCACCGTTTTCCTCACAGTCCCCACTGGTAGTAAGTTACAGGTGTGAATTATTTTACTAGTAAGGCGGGCACTGCCATTGGTGTGACAGCGATCCCAGAGAAAACGACCATGTTTAATATAAAGTTGCCAGTCATATGTCGCTGTTTTTATCAAACCAAATTAATTCTACGTTATGGTATCGTACCTGGATCCGCAGGCACAGGAAAGAGGCTGGAGTTGATGTACAGACTTGTCTCTTCCAAAATATCGTCCAATGTGATCGGTTTCCCGTTTACATTAAGCATGTGCTCCTCGTACGGGTCGGTCATTTCCAAACTGTTCATGCTTGAGTTGAAGTGCAACAGCGAAGGCGTGGGGGTTTGGTGACCGAACAAAATCAGAATAAATATAGAATGAGCTTTCGATGGCCGAAATAAAAACTCTCTGCGATCACGAAAGCCGCAGCACTTTGATATCGGCGTGTGAGTTTGAAGATTGCTTAGTTACGTTGCAGAAGTCGATTCACCGATGCGAAGACAATGTTACAATGGCGCACTTGAATGCTTTCCACAGGATCGGCGTAGTACGAGTCCTTGCTAACAATTCGAATGATGATCACAGGAAGTTTTCACGAGACGTGGTCTTTATATCTGTAAGAAAATTCCGTGCATTGTGCTCAAGTTAACCGCAAATTGATCAATCAACCGTGAAACTTCCGGTCTGCAAAGACTCAGTTTTTCAATGGATTCTAATGTTTTGCAGAGCTAGCTTTGTACCGAACGGCAAAGAAACCTGTCTCTCCGCGTATTCTGACGAGCAAACGCTATTTTACGAGAAATGAGGTGCTTTGGATTTGTCAATCGCTGTAATTTGAAATTGAGTCGCACATAGCAACGATTGTTGAACAAACATTGCATGACGCAAAAAAGCCATTTAAGGGCACATAGGGAAGTAACACGAGAACGTCATTGTTGTCCGAGTCACCTGATGTTGTAAGGACCGAACGAACAAAGAAACCTCTTCTTTGTTCTTGAAACCTATCCGAAAGAAAAAAGTATAAGCACAATGAGCTATCTTCATGCCGATCAAATGGTATATATAGCTAGTCACAGCGTGTCGAATGGATTTGTTTGCCCGCTCTTCTGCTAAACTTTGCAGATGACGTAATGTACGTGTCCCGGATGAAATGATACTCGCGCACTGGCTGGACGTGCTCTGAAGCAACGGTTGATCTGGCGCGGGCTATGAATCATCACACGCTTCTCCGGCTATGGGAGATATTGCGTCAGTCGGTGTCGAGTGCGTTAATTGAGAAATAAGTAATTGAGGTTTTCAAAACCCTGTTGCTTTCCTCAACTTCAATGTAGTTTTTCGTACACATAAACTCACGGTTGATAAAACAAAATCAAACAACACCAAATATGGGCTCAATGAGACATGTCGGTAAAATTTCTCCAAAACACCTCTTAAAAAAATTCTCCATTAAAATTGACGTTTCCCTTCAGCGCAAAATGCCGTCAACCTTTTATAATTGTAAACATCCAAAAGCTAGGCTCCTTTTGTCCGGGTTTGTTTTCAAGGGATGAAAATGTATTTTATGTCCAGTAGTTTTCGGGTGGTGGCGGAAGTCATGGGGGTATATAATATATAATGTTTTGCTGCAGAACAAAGGAGGTCAACCCATCACAAGTGCTTAACAGTCAAACAGTCAAGACAAATCCCATTGGATTCTGTATAAAACATTGAGAAAACTAAATAACGATACAAGTCCACAAACCCAAAATTTATCACCCACAACATCCCTCGCTATCGTAAACTTACTGTAGGTATGTCTGAACAAAGAGCTTTAAGATATGAACTCGTTTTGTGATATTATAAGCTAGGTGCATTCTTATTCCTAGAATATTTCCCATCGAAGCCTCTTGACTTAAGGTATGTAACTCGTCAGTGTACTTGAATCATACTCTTATCTCAAAGGGCAAAGGATCGTTCCAATCATATTGTTTGTAAATATTCTTCTCAAATGTAAATTAGGGTTCAAAGAGGCCAGTAAATCTGTTTCAAATTATCCAAATTCAGTCTTGGCTTCGAGACTAAGGGGAAGTAAACAAAAGAAATGAATTATTGATTCATGAATCTCAATGCGATTTTTTGTTTCTTTTTGGTTTCGTTTTTTATCTCGGACCTGCGTATTTTCTTACTTCATTTTCAGGTCGTTTGGAGAATAGCTTAATTTTGTGTTCTTTCAAATTAAGGTTTTGCTATAGAGGCTAGGCTGATGCCACAAATTGGGAGAAAAAAGAGCAAAACATGGCAAAACGCGGGGATATTGATAACCGATTTGTTTCGGAGATGATAAGCCTGAAAAATGTATCTTCTTATCTCGAAAAGTCATAAAATCGAAACAATCCCTGGAATACAACTTTCAGGGCATTTGTCTTAAACATAAAACGAATCATAAGAATAATTGAGTCCGATCCAGACCCGGGCACTCCTTCTATTCATGCAAATGAGATTTTTTCAAGAGATTGGTTAGGGCAAACTCCGCCAAGCGGATTTAATGATCGAAATTAGCATGGATTTTGTTAATTCTTTTACAGCCTGCAGATAATAAAACAGGAAATTATTTTTATACCCGGCCAAAAAAAATTTGGGATAAATTTATAACAAAGGCGCTTTTTGATGAGTGTGGGCTCTTTGAATCTCGGGTACAAGCTGTTTAACTAGGCGGCATTGAAGTCGTTTGCTTCCAGTCTTTACAGGGGAAATTCAATTTGAAAATTTTAATTTTTTGATGCACGGTTAAGGCAGAGGTTAAGGGGGGGCGGGGATTGGATTACGGGGGCACGGATACTGCCCTTTCTTCTGGTAAGACGTGACTATTATATCCTACATAGTCTAATATTCATCACACGTCCGTTTTGACTTTCGGAGATCAATGCAATGGACACGCACAGTGACCCAGGTACCTTTACTTCCGGATATTTCACATACTGGTAAGAAACCAGGCAATTCTTAGAACCCCCAAGAAGGAAGGAACAACATTTTTTTTCGACTACTGAATCAGCGCCATTTTCTTAAAAACCAGTGCAAGGGCTCTTTTTGTCTGTAGGATAAAATCAAAGCAAAGGGTAGGTGGAGAAAAAAAATCTCAAGTGAACCGCACACTTTTTCCGTTAACACGTACGCGAAAACTACACTTCACTGACAAGCTAATCAAAATGCAAGAACGCACGCGCTTGACCTTCACATGGTCTAAAATCAGCGCACTGTTGGTGGGGACTGTCAATTCTCGCGCGCTCACAAGCGTGATTACAGTTCATTGTGTTATTTAATATTATAAGACCAGCATCAATTTTCTTCTGACAATATTCATACATCATCAGGAGAAAATGTTATGAGAATTAATAAAGTAAATAACAGAGGGAAAATAGAATGATATTTTATCAAGTTCTCTCAACTAATTATTTAACTTAAGGAAATGTATGGGGATAACTCTGGATTTTGTTAGCCGAAATATTGTCCTATAATATCTCAGCCCTGTCGTAGTGCCAGCCCTGCATTCAGTTTTGTTTTATTTTACAATTTTAAGTGACGTCTGGCTTCAGCATCTCTTTAATTAGAGATCCGGAAAGAAGAACTAGTCAGTTACATTTACGCGTTGCGTGGACCTGTGCATTCTAACAGTTCTTTTTTTACTCTGGATAATTTGTGTGTAGATATTGGAACTGACAGCGATGAGTAATAAAAGAGTCTGTTCCGGCCGGTTTTTCATAGTGGTGGAGACAGCCTCTAAAGAAACGGAGATGGAAAAAACGGCGAGCTCTGAATCTTTATCTGCCCTGGTACAAATCGTTCTATAAAATAGCCATCTCTGTTGTGCATGAACCTGTCCTTTATTTTCTTCTGTTTCAAAGTCATTTTAACAACACTGAAAAAAAAAATCCAAAAAGGCTAAAAATGAACCACAACATTTCCACCATCCACTAAATGTGTGTGAAACGCATGTCTTTTGCGTGGTGTTTTGCAACGAAATCATGGAATATTAGATACAGTGTTTAATTTGTTTCTCTCTTTGCCTCTGACCTGCTTGAGTAATGAGTCACCCTCTGAACCCGTCCTTGACGGTGAATTGATGGAGTGAGTCACGCACAAGCACAACAGGAAGCCACAAAATCGGTCTAGCGGAAAACCATGGATAACCTGGTTACCGCATTTATTATTCAAGGGGGTGTGCCAGCTGGACATTTTACAGTGCCATACTCGCAAATAGCCGGACCTTCTCTAGTTGGGTAGAACATATCTAGTCCGTTGTAACAAAGTTGAGTAATGATTGTTATTACCAGGAGCCCATGGGTAATAGGCTCCTGCTATTACATATCTTCCGCTTTATCAGGAGAAACTTTTTGCATCTCAAGTATCCTAAAAATAATTCACTGGTATAATTTCATCAGCGTTGCCGAAATGATTTATATGTTTAAGAGATAAATTAGTGCTACGATCACCAGTTGGCAGAGGTACTGTTTTTTCAGGGGCACCCAACGAGAATAGTTTCTCGATATAGTTCAAAACCATTTAAACATAGCATTGTTAAACGTATTTTAGTAGTTAAACGGTATATATAGCCATTTTTTATCCGCTAAGAATTTTTCATCTTTTGGGATTTCCTAGCTGAAAGTTTAGTGATCTGAAAATAATAGGGATCAAAACTTACCTTTTCGAAAATTTCGGCCCGAAAAAAGGCTCCCGGAAATTCTAGGTGACCTTTTTAAGGTGAAAATTTTTACCATTTTTTAGATGTTCGAAAACCCTAGCAAGAAACTTTACAAAAAATGTTCCGAAAATTCTAGATCTCAAATCGTCTTCCAAACAGATATTTTCTGAAAATTGACATTGGCTGCCCCTGTTTTTTAAGATGTGAAGAAGGCTCTTTAATAGGTGAAGATATCATACAGTGTTCACACAATTCACGTCTGGCTTGTTGTTGTGCCAGGTGTTTAAAATGTCAAACATTCAGACTTTATCACCTTGGCGATTTAATATTGAAGTACGTCTAGTCAAGATATCGATACACGCGGGGCACTGTTGAGAACGCGCAGCAAATCACGATCACGCCCTCCAGTTTGACCTTGGTGAATGACCACGAACTAGCCCTCACGTGCCAACTCTGGTTTCATTTCCGGGTTTTGAGGGTTACCCCGAGTTGCTAGTCTAGCAAATGAGCTGACGATACGTATAATATTCAGCGTTACATCACAAACTCAATAAACTAGCTATTCTCAAAGATGCGAAATCTTGACACCTGGAGACCTGAGGCAACAGAATTTTTCTGAGAAGATTGTTTAAGCTGCAGACGCGCAACAATTTTATTTTATAAATCAGTGGCATAATCGAACAAAATACCGATAGAAGACACCACTGGCTTTTACCACAGACTCAAAAGTAAGAGCGACATTATATATCTGTAAGATTGGCTCAGGAAAGAAAAGAGTTCATTTCAAAGTAAAATACAAGCATGCTGCAGAAATACAGCTACTAAGCTACAAGCTAACTACAGACTGTATAATTATAGATATCTCCTAAAACACAGACAAGCGAAAATCATGGGTGGGGGGGGGGTTATATAAAACAGGGGGGTACTCAAGGGAATAATAGCTCACACTACGTCTCTAGTTTTAGCCTCCCATGCAGGCTTTTTTAGGGGAGCTCGTTTTTCATTCCTCCCAGGGATGAAAAACGAGCTCCCCTAAAAAAGCCTGCGTGGGAGGCTACTCTAGTCTGGAATGTCAACGGTCTCTTCGCCTCAACACCCCTCCGCACGAGGGGCAGAGGGGTGGGGAGAAGACACGGCTGACATTT